ATGAAAATTTGGAATGGAGAAAGCTGTAAAAACGGTGGATGAAAACAAAATGCGTACAGTAGGCCTATTATCATTTGAATTTGAGGATGGGAAGGAATTCATTTTTAATTATGGAGTTTTTTGTATTTTCCCCGTTGTTGATAGCATCATCATACACTCTTTCTTTTTTACTCTTCTGATTGTATCAAAATTAATTATTCACAAAAATGGATAATGTTATATGATGTAAAATAATGTACCGGTACCCAACAATAATTTTGGTCCTATAATATTTTTCCTTTGCCGTTTTCATTCACATGACACACACAGGAATCTTTTTACTAACAGGTCTTTCATATTTGTATTAATAACTTTAACAAATCCATGTTTATGGACTCTAGCTATCTAAAGCACAATGAACGATCTTTTCCCAACAATTAGATATGGCTGCTGTGCAATGAAAAAGTCGAACAACTTTAATTAATTAATTTTTCTTCCGAAATCAATTATTTACAAAAAATTAAATAATGCCATACGATGTAAAATAATGTATCCAACAATTATGGTCATGATCATGTAACATCTTTTTGTATCTAGTATAATCTTAAGTTATTTTGAGCTTGAAGTCCAGCTAACGTCTTTAGCGCTCAGCTTACAACGAGTTTTTATAATCATATGTATCATATGTAATCATTATGTAAAGATCCCCCGCCCCACTTTTTATCGTTTCAAATAGTATTATACTTGAATGTATAAAACTTGAATGTAAAACCCCACCACTGCAAACCTATGCAGACTAAGCGAATTTCCATTTGCCTGATTGGGTGTACACTAAAAATGCCTCCTTAAAAATACCACATTTATTCCCTATTTAAATAGAATTTTTAACGAGTACTTAGGTTTGCTGCAACTAGGACGGTAAAAAAGTGTTTTTTTTTTATGTTAATAGTTAATAAAAAATGAATGTATTTTCCGAATTTGATCAAAATATGTTCATAAAAAGCAAACCACAGTTAACTTATTCTTAAATCTTGAGATATTTGTTGTTGTTGTACTTTCAAAATCTATACGCTTCTTCTGAAGTCCAAATTAATGATGATATTGAATATTTTTGTTATTAACTGCACGGTATACTTTTGTTAATATATAATATACAGTTTCACTGCTGGACTGATGGCTTGATTCGTGGAGATTAAGATTTGCAAATAATGAATTATGAAAGTTTGTTTTAGTTATGGTTTATGGTGATAAATAAATAACCCTGTTTTCCATAATAAATAGAAAACAATTGTATTTTACACGTTTTTTTTATTTGGAGGAAACTTGTTCCTACCTTTATTAAGTATTTTCAAGAAATGCCTAGCAATTGTAGAATATTTCTTTCTCTTTCAGAATACCACCTTCCTCTGCGGTCGATTTATTAACAGGCCTTTTTTTAACCAATTTTGCCTATGTGTGTGTTTCGTGTGGAAATGTTTCTGTGTTATAACAACGCCTTTTGGCCGAACAGTTTGATGATAGCACAATGAAGCTGAAACGGCCGTAACAATACTAACAATACAGGAGCTGAGCTGGCTGACGAATGTCACTTCAATTTAGTTATAGAACCAGCTTTGGGGCAAGAAAATATGAAAAAAGACCCCATAATTATAGTTTAACTTACCGGTAACATGCCAGTATAGAACAACAAATGCCACACGTATAGTTTAGTCATAGATGGTTTGGCTCAATAACTAATTTAATTCAGCGAGTATACGCCCCTGAATTTAACTTTCCTCCCGCCAAATGGCAACACTGTCAGGTAAATGCAGTGATGTAGTCAGTACTGAACGGGAACTAAATTTCCCGTTCGAACCTGTGTCTTCCGACACGGTGGCAAAAAGCTTAATTAATTAATTGTACTGTACTTATTTATTTATTTATCTAATTTTATTTATATAGATTCATATCAACCGATACACCATTTACAAAATAATACGTGTTTTAAGCACATGAGCAGAATGAAAAGATAAAAATATAACAAGATACGTTACATAATGACCATTGAACAAAGCAGCATTGCAACAAAAATAATAACAACAAGACAACAACTAACAACAATAACAGATAGTAACATTAACAAAGTACTGTGCATACAAAAATATTCAATATTAATTTGGACTTCAGAAAAAGCATATAGATTTTGAAAGTAATGTACATACAACAACAACAAATATCTCCTCAAGATTTAAGAATAAGTCAACTGTGGTTTACTTTTTTATGAACATATTTAGATCAAATTCGGAAAAAACATTAATTTTTTACTAAACTATTAACATTTTGAAAAAAAAAACACTTTTTTACCCTCCTTGTTGTAGCAAACCTAAGTTCTTGTTAAGTTCAACAAATATAAAAAAAAAAAACTGAATTATATAAGATACCTACTATAAAACACACTAAAAATACTAAAACAATTAAACCCACGAAAATTCACACTATCTCCTCAAATCCCACTTAATTGACGTACACATAGCCTACAGTTAATACTGCACTGTGTGGATTAATACATCATCTTTATACATTGAGTCGTTGATTAGGCATGGGTCCTTATTTTAGAAATAGGCACGAGTTTACATTTTGGATCAGTAATATTTTCAAAAACATAACGTGTAGTTATATATTTATATGTTTACAAAACCTCTTTTTGAACACTCTATATGTTTGAAGCGATGTTATGGCTGTACAGGGGAACCTTGATAAGAAGGCCCTCGATAACAAGTCGCCCTTGATAACAAGTGTCATTTTCAAATCCCCTAAAAAACTATTTTACCCCTAATCACATGTTATTACAAACCTCGATAAGAAGTCAACCTTGATAACAAATCTTATTTTACAATCCCCATGAGAGTCTTGTTATCAAGGTTCTAGTGTATACAAATTTGTCTTTATGGCCTTTTGCACAGAGTTTTCATTAAAAAATGTGCACCCTTGACAACGCCACAAAATTTTATGCTAAAAAATGGGGTCAAGCACTAACAATCCTTTTTTTTGCTAGAGTCGGTCCAGTGTCCACATGTTTTGTTTATAGTCATGGCAAAAGTAAGTTTTATGTTAAATTCCTTCTTTGTCAGTTTGAAAGGATTGCTCACTGTTGCGTGAAATGACAACAGTTAGCGATACGGCGATACCTATATGATAGGCCTAAAAGTTTTCTATTTCACATTGATTTATAAGTTTAAAACATGAAGGGCTTAAAAAGTTCAAAGATTGTAATGGATCGGTAAAGAACCAAATCTGAACTGATATTTTAATTTCAAATTTAATGCTGCACCTCTTCTGTCATGGCTTTCTGCTCTTCCACTATATATTTATCTATAGTCATAGTCAAGTATCTTTATTCATGGTGGTTGTACAAGAATAGTGTCAAATAAGTTAAAACTATGATTAAGCCATTTTCAATTTGTCTAAAGATTGAAAGGACAGGTCCATTTAATATTCCTTGAGACGTGTTTTAAAAATGTTGGGTTTTTGTTCTTTTTTATTTTTACAGGAATAAATTTAAAAAAATCATCTCCTGCATTGACAGTCTTTTTTTAAGAGCTCTAATATATGTTATCCAATTACGAAGTTATTTTTGTTACGTGTATTGTAGTTTTGATTATTACCTGCTCTTCCATTGCCCTGTTCCTCCTTGATGTTGTAGAGACATTTTGTTTGTTTCCTAAATAAAAACTGGCTAAGGCAAAACAATAATATCCCCGCCACAGCAAACCTGCAGACTTAGCGAATTTCCATTCACCTGATTGGATTTACACTAAAATGTCTTCTTAAAAATGTCACATTTATACCCTATTTCAATAAAATTAGTTTAACGAGTACTTAGGTTTTCTGCAACAGGGAGGGTAAAAAAGTGTTTTTTGTTGTAAAATGTTAATACTGTAGTTTAGTTTTTGGCTTCTAGGGACCTCAAAACGAAAAAGTAAATTGGTCCCAGGTCCAGGTCTTACCATGAGTACTACGGTAATAGCTTAATCCCTATATGGGAAATTCGCTAAAAACTGGATAAGGCAAAAGACCAGCTTTGCTGTCTTGAAGTGCTGAAAAAAATTGCTTCTGTTGCTGCAGCAAGAGGTTGTACGCCTGTTTGGATGGGTTTTGTCCGAAGAACTCTTCGCCAAATGCGTCTTTTAAGGTGTCACACAGCTACAGTAAATGTACCGTAATAATTATAATAATTAGGAGCATGAAAATAATTATGAGAGTAGAATAAGCAGATGATTGCAAAAAGCCATGTCAATTGTGTTGGCATCCGATACCCGGCAGCTACAACCATTTTGTGTGTTAACTACCAGTTTGATTTTTTTGTAACTACCTGAATGTAGAAAAGTGTTTCAACTACTTTCCCCTGAAGACTTCATTTCAATATTGACTATATGGACTCTGCCCTGTGGGCGTTCAAAGTTTTGAGTTAAGAGTTATAAAAAGTAAATATTGATTGACTTTTGATACTGCAATAAGCAGAAGTGTACATTTTATATCCCATAATTATATCTCGAGTCTCTTCTAATCTAAGTTTCTTGCGTGCTTTGTTGTTGGGAAAAAATGTATTCTTAATTTTCACTAAACATGATCATGACATATTTTTTTATATGTTGCGATTAATTTAGTGGTGTATAGTGTTTAGCTACACAGCTGTTTCAATTGCAATACCTATTTTAAAACTAAGCTGTTTACAGTTGACTTTTGTTTCTAAAAACATTGGAAAAAGTGTTAATTATATTTTTCTATAATCAATGGTAAGAGTGTAAACTTGAATTTTGGAACAGACAAAGTTATACATGGTTATACATACTTTCTATATGATTTGCAAATCTTAACCAGCTCTTTGTAAGTTATTTGTCAATAAAATATTTACATTAATGCAAATTGTGTAGTAATTAGCAACAAGGATATGTTAAAGATGAATTAATATCAAGATATCTCTTTTGACCTAATTATTTTAATTGACAATGTCAGTTAGTGAAAGTAATAACTTCAACAAACACAATAAACAGTTTATTTATAAAACTAGGCAGTAGTACAACAAAGTAGGTATTAAAACTAAAAAAACATCTTCATTAAAAAACATAAAATTATCTTAATGATACAAAATTCAAATATAAGAATACTAATGTTCAAAACAAATATTAACCTAATCAACATAATCAGCCCCATTTCTCTCATCCTCCATGCCCTCATCGCCATCCACCCATCATCAGGCCTGAAATACAGAAAAAGAATTAGTATTAATGACCATATTTTGAATTAATGTGCTGCTTAATTATAATATAAAAAGTATTATTATGGCTATTAAATTGATATGTCTATGGATTTCCACTTTTGGCTTTCTGAATTAATGTGCTGCTTAATTATAATATAAAAAGTATTATTATGGCTATTAAATTGATATGTCTATGGATTTCCACTTTTGGCTGAACTTGTTAAACCATATATTACAGTCCAACCTCGGTATAACAAATCTGAAGGGACCGAACTGAATATTCGTTATATCAAGGATTTTGTTAAAACGAGGTTCGTTATATTGAGGTTAGGTTTGCAGGAATTTCGCTAAGTCGAGGTTCAGAACCAGCATCAGTCAATATAGGTCGTGATTTGATCTCATTAAAACACAATTAAAGTAGCATAGGCTACAATACTTTACAGTACAGTGTTTACATTGTAAAGTAGAACCTCGATTATCTGGGGTACTAAAGGGGTACTTTAATATTGCGCAATCATGACATTTCTAGTCATTGACCTTGGTACATGTTATAAACTGTAAGTTTAAAATCACAGCTTTCTCCAACCCACCTAAAACCTAGCCAAACACTGTATTGTATAATAGCAATAAACCACGTAAAGAACAAAACAAAACAGTAGAGAGTTTTGTAAGCTACTGCTCGTGATAGGCCGGTAGGCTACAGTGTTACAGTACTGCTTTAAATCACAACAGAGGAATGTCAATACTGTAATAATCATCAACTATGGAATTGGTGTTGCCTTAGTTTAAACAAATCGTATTGAAAATAATAAAATTATTAGATAAGTCGTTATAAAAGTGTATAATCATAGTCAACTTAAAGATAATAAAAACACTCGTAAAAGGAATGTTAAGATAACGATGTTTCTATTCTTTCTCTTTGCTTTGTTCTTCTATTTTTTTCTTTCTTAGGTTTTTCTTCATCCAAAAATTGTACAATTCGCCATATTTACTTATCACCCAATCACAGCTTACTACACATTACGTCATCATCAGTCCTCAGTGAATGAAATCAGTTCTCAGTTGTTTACATAGCGCGCATGCAGCGACGACAGCAGACGGCAGACAGCAATGTGAGTGGAGCAGACGAATGTTAGCGCGAGCGATGACGTCAACTTTACATTTCATTTGATGAAGAAAATGATTTTTCAAAAACAATAATGGGGGTGGGGGGTTCGTTGTATCGAGGGAGAGACGCATACAATTCGTTAAGTAGAGGTTAAATTCGCTATGTAGAGGTTCTGACAATGACAAATTCGTTATATTGAGGTGTCTTATTTTAGCCGGGATCATGAAAAATTCGTTAAATCAAGGTCGTTGATATGGTTTGTTCGTTATGTAGAGGTAAAACATACATTGTGTCTTATGAAGAGTTCTAGGGGATTAAAAAAAAATCGTTATATCAAGGAATTCGTTATATCGAGGTTCGTTATATCAAGGTTAGACTGTATTTCAATAGGGTTAACACTATGAGTGCAAGGTGCGGGAATTCTTGCCCCGCGGTACCGACACCACTGGTGCGGGCGGGATATTTTGTCCTTACAACATTGCTTCAGTGTGAGCTAAGCCTCGCAAGGGGAAATTCTACTTATAAATTATTAACAGCCTACACTAAATAAAATCCAGGATTGATAAGTATTAAAATTGAGGAAATGGCAAAACTTACCATATTTCTCTTCTACACTACCTAGTAGGTAGTCTTTTCTTCGCCTCGTTCCCCATCTACTGTTCCTCTGCTACCTATTCTTCCGCCTCAGCCTCTCCCCTGAATCATCCAATGTCAATTACAACTCCCCCATTGTACTGGTACTGGCTATAAACAGAAATATTAAAAAAAATTAGTATTAGCCTACAAATAATATTACACTAACAAAGTTTAAAAGTGTTCACTCCTTCCTAGATTTTGTGACATCCAAATACCACTAATAGAAGAAAATGGAGTGTTGGTTTAAAACCATTAGTATTTTTTTCAATAATTTAAAAAGTATGATAACAAAATTACAGGACAAAATAATTTTATCTAACATAAATTAGATATCTCTAATTTATAAAAATACAGGCCTATTAATAAAACTATTGATTAGTTTGAGTTAAGCTGAAATAATTAAAACAGAATAAAGTAACAGAAACAAATAATCACACCTGATTAAAATAAAGTAGAGAATAATATGCAAATGAGAACAGCTGAGGTATTTTTAACATTAGGTTTTAGCATTAGGTGATTTTTTAGGTGTATGGAAAGTTCCCTTTAGAAATGAATTACGACATTAAAGGGCAATTTATGCATTAATGGATAGTTTTGAACAAGGTTTATCGCCATGACAAACATTTTAAGTATATGGTTTATGGGGTTGTGACTTGTAGTTTTCTCAAATGTTCATTGGTACCTACTTTGGGAATGGAAAGAATCTATACAGTATATATAATACGTTGAGCCGATTTTTGTAAACAGAACTCCTCCCTCATTTTTGGACCAATTTTGATGATTAGTGTCAAAATAATGGCCCTGATCTGTAGTATTGTAAAGTGTTTTTATTTTGTTGAAATCTTAATTAGTTCAGGCAGGATCTTCCATCAAAGTTGGGTTTTCTACAATAAGATTAACATGGGGGAATCTAAATATTCAATTGGAAACTTTGTCTCGACTAATTTGAGAGAACTAGGTGAAACCCGTCGAAATCAACGGTTACTTTCAAGGCTTACGTTAATTCACCCAACTGCGATAAATTGGGTGAAATGTACATATTTTGAACATTTAGCATTGTTTAAAGAGTAATACCAATAGGTGTAAAAACAATAATGATATTAATTGAGTTAGTTGCCAAATTTGGTTGATCATTCAATGAATAAAATATTACCCATACCGTACGTCATCGGAGTTGTTATTACTATGTTATATGGTATCTTTAAATTACAGACAGACAGACGAACAGACATAGCAAATGTCTACGTAATACTTGATTCAATAACCGAGTTATTGAGTTATAGCTTGTATTAGAGAATATGATTAAGAACTAATCTTGTTTAGGCAAAAATAATAGCCTAGGTATAAAGCCTAGGCCTATTGGATAAAGAAATGAAACTATTTTAAATTAACCTAACATAACTAAACAAACTTGCTGTAGGCTAAGTTACTGTTTCAAAATTCCGTTTGATAACAGATAAGGCATATGGGGATTAGATTATCGAACGGAATTTTGAAATGTTACAACAAGTTTGGTTTGTTTAGAACAGTTTAATTTTAATATAATATTTTTTTATTGTTAGTTGATACGAACAATATTTATTTATCGTAGTTGTCAGCTGGTAAGTTTCAATTTGTTAATATCGATAGGCCTAGCCTATACCAAATTTAAAAAATCAATATATCAAAAAGAAATCATCGGTAATAATGAATGTTCCCTTTAACACGTTCGCTGCTACGGACGTTCCGCAACTTCAGCAGGGCCACAGCGCCAGGAGCTAGGAGCGTTACGGAACGTTGCCAAATTCATTGTTGTTTAACGTTTCCATGGATCAGCCAGCTCGTCACGAGCATCCTATAATTCTTTGCAGCTAGTGGGGACGTACTTTCCGTCCGTCCCCGGCATCTAGCGCTCAGCAGCGAACGTGTTAACAGGAAAGTACCGTTTCGGCTACTTACAGGTAGCAGCAAGATGAGTTAGGCATTAACAGTGTTGATGAGGTAACTTAACGGCCGAAGACTGAACATGGTACCTATGCACAGAGGGCGATATTTAGGCTTACCTATGACTCTCTTTTTACCAGGTGGTGCACATTTGAGAACAATTTAATCGTTAAGGGAAACTTAAAATAGGCCTAGTAAAGGCCCTCTTCTGAAAATGGACAACTAGGCCTAAGGCCTTGTTTAACAATAGGAAGGTTTCAACACAAGTTAAGTACATGTGTTCTGTACTTGAGAGGCCCATCATTCAAAGTAAACTATAGAACTAAATTATGGCTGCTAAGTAGCCTAGGCCTATCTCCTAACATGCTATAATAGGTCTAAAAGTTAACTTAACCCTAGCAGTGGCCAATGTTAGAAGTGGGGAATAGCCAACCCATTTTGGCGATTTTGCAGACCTTTTATTGAAAATTCGTAAAAATTCAACCGTACAAGTAAACCTAGCCGAAGATCGGAAAGAACAGGAGAATCTAGAAATAGTAATATCATAATGATTTATAAAGTGTATTTTATCGGTAAAGTGAAAAAAATAGAATTTTTTTAAAATTTCAAAAGCGGCCTCGGTATTTTTTAACGACAGATTTTTCATGGGAAATTCATTATATACATTTTGTAGACAATCTAATTCCCTACACAGAAATATATAACATGTTAGAAAAATATTTTTTTTTATAAGTTTTTGGGGCGAAATATAATGACAAACAGAGAACCGAAAAAATTGAAAACCGTACAGTGTTAGTTTAGGTATGTTGTAAAAAGTTATATAATATATGTGTATAGGCTACTAATAATGATATAATACATGTTTGTAAAGCTAATGAAGTATGGTAAAGAATAAAAAAAAGTCATAAAGTTTATGGTAAATATAATGTTTTACCTATAAACATACGTATATAAAATAATGTTTTTATATTTTAGCGATTTCGCGAGAAAAAAAATTCACAGTATTTAGTATACAACTTTTGTACCAAATTTGTTTACTTCAAACTAACATAATAATCTTGTTGTGTATTCAATTACGTACATAAAAATGTATAACATGTTAGAAATATTTTTTTGTAGGTACTTACGTAATAGGGACATAATAATACAATAACCGCAAAACCGCAAATAAGTGTAAACTGATACAGTGTTTGTTTGTGTTGTAAAACATTATGTAGGCTGATGATATGTACATATTGTAAAGCTAATGAAGTAAGGAATTCAAAAAAGTCATTAGTATGATGGTAAAAAGTTATTTTCACCTATGATTATGTATCAATTTCAGAATGTTTTGAATTTTTTGCGCATTTCGAGAAAATGGAGTGTACAGTATTTAGTAGCCTATATAACTTTTTTACCACATTTTTACACCCAAACCAATAAAAACATGTTGTAGTGTATTCATTTACCTTTATAAAAATGTATAACACCTTCGGTATATCATTATATAGCATGGCGAACTAAGGTCCATCTCGTACAACAATCTCTAAATGTCAGAATCGTTATTTTAGTACATGGTGCTAACAAAATATAACCTTATGAACACTATTTCACACAATTCAGTAATATTTATGCGTAATAAAATGCATGAAGATTACTGTTATACACACACACAAACTTCACTAACACTATGAACTAATAACGTATTTAGTAATAAACCGCGGATAACACCAGAGCGAACACTCACGGCAACAACAAACAAAGGCGAATACACAAGACAGCTGTAGCAGTAATGACTCACTTCCATCTTCTTCATATGTGAGCAGACGTAAATAACCCTGAGCGCAGGGCTGCCACTCTCACAATCTATATTTCTTCCCCTTCAAAATTACATATTATATGACTAGTAATAATAACTTACAGTGTATGTAATTCGTATTTTCCACATCATCACCTGACGACCATTGGCCATTTGTTAAAAATTTTGAAAACAGCTGTTTTCATAAAATCGTACCGGTTGTGCAATCAATACGGTATTTCTTTCTAAATATTACTACCACAATGAGAAGATAAAATCAATGGCTATCCAGTGGTACCACCCGCAACATCCCACGACGAAAATTATCTGAGCAGGGTAAGAATAATGCCAAACAAGACGTGTTTTGTAGAGATGGGCGTTATTTAACATAACAGGATGAATAACAGTGTTGCGGCCACGGCAACGTTATCGCGGCAACACGTTGCCGAGAACTCCCTGTTATTATAATAACTATCTATCTACACAATGTTGCAGGAAAGCCGCGCGGACAACGAAAACATGCATTGCCATCAGTGTCGTTGCCGCAACGCTACCAGAGCAACGATAACTTCTGAAACGAACTAGAATTAGAATAACGCATCCTGTCTGGACAACGCCCGACTCGCGGCTACAACTGAAAACTGAACTGATCAACCGACAACGATAACTGAACGCCGCAACACCGACCGGCGGACAACGGTTTACAGCGGCAACGAGTTGGCAATCGTTATTGAAATAACAGGTTGCCGCAACACGTTATTGGGCAGCTGCGTTATCGTTATAACCGTTGCCGGAAAACAACGATAATTCCCATCTCTAGTGTTTTGACAGTTCCCAAGTGTCGGCTACAAAAGTCGTGCCGCCCCAAAAATTCATTTGATTTCTAATCGTCGTGACATTGTTATATACCTGCTACAGGGTTTGTTTATGTAATAAAATGAAAGTTCACAATGTGATCTTTCGAATGGTATAAGTTATTATTCTCATCTGAGTTGATTGTAAGTGTTTCTTTTACCGCTAAAAAAATATCGGCCCAGATCGTCACCAGACGACTTTGGCCATTCTAAGCATCAACGTCAGATCGTCACCAGATGACAATCGGCCACTGCTAGGGTTAAGTCAGTCCGATCCCTTACCAGATTTATTTAAGTTAGACCACACAGTTAATTAGATGCGGAACAACTTCCTAAACCTGCAAAATAGCCTAGCCTAGACCTGTTTCGGGTACAGTTTCTTAACTGGGCTAGGTATGCTAGGCCTAATATCGATTGAAACTATTGATTCGATTAGTAAACCTTCATGCAATTTTTTCACCATCAGCAAGTTTGGTTGGTTAGGTTAGGTTATGATAGTTTAATTTGATATAGTATTTCAAACATTGATTATTAATCAATATTTCCAATTCAATAGCTTCAATCGATATTAGCATAGCCCAATTAAGAAACTGTACTCCCTGTTTCTATATAACTCGCGCCAACAAAAAAAAACTTAAGTTAAAAATCTATCAAGAACTTACCTCAATCATTACAGGCCCATATAGGCTAGGCCTAGCCTGTGCATCTATTTCTGTTGAGTTTTAGCCACTGGTAGGCTTGAAAAGTGCTTGGGCACAACACTTTGATCAGTTCTTTTTGTGCCTTTGTATCCATGTTTAATTAGTGTAGGGCCTAGGGCAGAAATACGAATTAGTCTAGGTTAAATAGGCCTATGCCTAACCTATAAATTAGCCTATCAAGAAATGACCGATATCTAATTATTAGCCTAAATCATGTAACGAATTACACAGTTGGCGTATCAAAACTATCACAAAATCTTACTTAATGCCAAAACCGCATTAACTTAGATTTCACTTAGATGTTACATTCACAATTCTATCGATGTTAGGCCCCTAGATCACTCACAAATTTCCAACATGGCGGATTCCAGAATCAGAGACCGGGCCAGATTGGCGCCAGAATTACATCATTTTTTTTTCAACCCTCCCTTCATCCCCACCACTTCCACTAAAGGGTTCCACCTAGCATGATCAAGTCAGGAGGATTTAGGAGCTTCTGATTGTTGGCTACCTGTTAACTTGTATTTTGACTTTTTTGATAGAAGTTCATTCATAGCAAAAAAAAACTCATGCAGTATACAGTATACCATGAAAATAAATGTTTTTATTTATATTTGGAGCTAGGTCTAAAGTAAAAATTTTAATCTTTTTTAAAACGTAACTACAATATTAAGCTTCATAGCTTTTAAGTCCAGCCTTCGTTTGTAAAGCAGTTTGTACAACAGCTTTTTTTACCACTGTCGTCTACTGAGCATGCACTGAAAAACTGGAACTTGTTGTTTGTTAGGTTATGTTTACGTCTACTTTAGGTAACTACTAACTAGTGTATGCCTGAATTGTATTTTGTTTTGTGAAACTTTGCCACAAGTTCAATAATAAACGCAAATCTCATGTTTTCTATGCCTTGAAACTAAGTATTCCACTTTATCATTAACTTATTACAGTCTGAAGTGTTCTTAATAAATTATAAACAAAATGTCTAAAAGCTTGAGTGACCTGAAGTTAAATAATTGGATTATTCGTCAGTGTCATGCATTAGGTAAATGTTAAAACTGCTTTATATTTCTGTTTAATAAGTATTTTGGTAGATTTTGTTTACACTGAAAAACATTGTGCTTAAGTTATCACGTTTCCTACTCAAGTTCATCACAACTAGGCTATTTTAAAATGGTACACAACTGTCACCTGTTTTGATATCCATATCAAGATCTTAACATATGTGGGTAGTCTTCCGTATCTGTTATTACAAACAACCCAATGAAAATATCGATCTATATATCGATTATTTCATTCAAAATATCGTTTGGTTAGTTAAGGTAACAAGTTAGGGTAACCTAACTAACCAAACAATATATTGAATGAAATAATCGATATATCAAATAATTTCTAATTCGGTTGTTTTTGACAACAGATACGGAAGTGTACCCACTTATGTTTATGAATGTTGCTACCATGTGGTCATTGTTTTAAGCTTTAGTTTAGACTGACCATTAGGTTAATTCGCCGTCATCGTTGGACCAAGCCATCAATGTACACATCATTGGTTCCAAACAACCTTAATTACATTAAGTTAAATGTTGATTTTTAGTTTCGGGACTTAAGCTTATCCCATGATGGTATTGATAACTACGCGTAAGTTTATGTACAGACACGTCACTATGTATAACTTGGTGTACGGTACACCACAATCCCACTAATCCAAACACCGCTAACCTGAGAACTCCTGACTAATCTGAACCACCTGTTGGGGAAACCAGGGTTTCGTACCAGCCGGGGAACTGGAGAAACCGAGAATGGTATGTGAGTTTTCATGACCGGGAATGTCTGTTAATTGCACCTAAGTAGACTCCCGATTATTTCAAATTAGGTAAGGCTATGCTATGTTATATACTGTGACAACTAAGATGCTTAGCGTGATGAGACCCTACATCTCACGGACAGACTAGATGATATAGCATAGTTGCCATTGCCTAAATTACTTCACCGACCACCAATGAGTAACATCCTTCTCAATAGGGCAATTGATTAAAAAAACTACCTACTATTTTGTGTGTGTTTAAATTATTGTTATTAGCCTAACTTACTAGGCTAATTTACTTGATTTGTAAATACTTGTTGGCCTATGTAAAACAAAGCTAAACGGTGTGTAGACTGCATTTTAAATATTTGATTATTACCTACCAGTTTAGCTTTACTACTCATTCAAAGTCGATGTTAGATTTTTTCTGGGTACTTGCGGTTTATCCACTCATTATTATCCACTCATTATAGTGGATAATACAGAGTCTACTGTAGGCCTACTTAAATTTTATATGGAACTGGACATGTAGAATAATTGGATGATTAATCAGTGATAGCCAATGGTCAAGCATCCATTCAACCGTTGCTATTTTTCAAGTAAGAAAATTACAATTGCGGTAGATAATCAAGGAACTTATGATATGGAAAACCACAGCGTCACAGTGATAACGAGAGTAATAATGTTCATTTACTAAAAATGCATTGTTTTATTTTATTATGCAATCTTAATGCGGTTCCAGCTATTCTGAACAATTTAGTAGGCCAAACCCAAACCGAGTTCGTTACGGTACCAATTAGTTGGGATTAGTTAGACTCTAGTGTACTTGTTACTATTGATATAAGATTACTTTCGAACCATTTTATGTAACTTAACAATTGTTTTACAGGAATACATCAACCCACTCCTATACAAGCCAACTGCATACCTCATATTTTGGCTGGTGGTGATTGTATAGGATGTGCTAAAACAGGTAGTGGTAAAACATTAGCATTTGCTCTGCCAATTCTGCAAAAGCTCTGTGAAGATCCGTATGGCATATTTGCGATAGTCCTAACACCAACAAGAGAACTAGCATTTCAGGTACTTGTGTTGTGTGTGTTTAAAACTAATCCACTAATCCTAAAAATAGTACCGTACCGTACTTACTTAAAAATAATACTAAGTTAAGAAGGCTGTCCAAACGTAAAATTTGTCTTGTTGAAATCTAACTTTAGTTTAAAAAACAATACTAGGTTGCTAAATTTCATCACTAGGGTGTTTAAAGTGACTCTTTTCGACCAGAGCTCAAGGAAAATGAGCGAAGGTTGAAAAGATACTTTGGCCTGTGTGATGAACTATGTTTTTGTTTATTGCAACATTATTCAACAAACTAAGTTAGAAAACTTAAATACTTTTCATGTAAAGATAACCTCTCATAACGACTTCCAATTTGTTTTTAATTTTGCTGATGCAAACAAGCAGCTGTTCAGTAGGTTTTTCAATAAGTTAGTCTATTACGATTGTGTTTGTGTATCGATAAGTCAAACTAATGATAAGATTCAAAAATAAGCTACAACCGATTAAAGCAATCGATACATACTTTTATCAATATACATGCTATCGCTTACAATCCTGAGTTAACAACAGCTGGCTTTTACTTCCTAGGGAATAAAAAGGTGTTTTACTCCTTTGAGAGTAAAATAGCCTAACTACTTTTGACCCGCCACACATGTATTAATAACGGCTGTTTTAGCTGCATGACAAAAATAGTGTTAAAACCCCAAAAATATGGTACAGTTTATTGTTTGATATTGAGTGCTCATGTTATTGTTGTAGATAAGTGATACTTTTGCTGCCATTGGCAAGGCTATCAACCTCAGGCAGTGTGTGATAGTTGGAGGTATGGACATGGTGACTCAAGGGCAGATGTTGGCAAAGAGGCCACACGTCGTCATCGCCACACCTGGCAGGTAAATAAACATGGATTATTACACACCACAAGTTCAAATAAGGTAGGAATGATAAACAAAAAAAAAGCAAAAAGAAAATTGATTTTGATTGAAGCGGTCTGGGTAGCTAAGTGGGTATAGTGCTTGTCTTGTAATCTGTAGGTCACAATTTAAATAAGCCTACCGAGGAAAGTCAGAAGCTTTTGATTGTTAGAAACTGCACCCAGCTGTCCTCATCCATTGGGCTTGATCACTTTTCTAATAAAATATATAGACATTTTTGAGGCATTCCAAAAATCTTTTGTTATGAAATTTATATTGAACGAGCTTCTGGCCCGTCCTACATACAGGTATCGAGTAGTCAATTAAAACTAAATATAATTTGTTCTGTCTGTATGCACATTTTGGCGTGAAAACAGCAGTTTACACACAAAAGGACAAAATTCTGGGAGTTTTAATAGGGATAATCGTCTTGTAAAAATATGGCACCTGACCACCTATTTCTTCCATCTAAATAGGCCTCTACGATATGCATTTTAAATCCGATAATTTTATAGTAAAATAGCAATTGAGTTGATTTAAAAAGCCTTGAAGTGAGATTGGTGGCCGATTCACACACACACTGGTTTTGAGCAAAGTAGGCCTACACATCATCTTCCATTACTATCTTTCTTTTGTATCTCAACCTCCGTTAACTTGAACTGGTCCGTATATTTTCTCTGCACTTTATTCTCAAACCCAGCAATACGGGTTCTCAGTTCTTTGGTCGGTGCCCAAGTTTCTGAACCATACAGTAGGCCTACTACTGGGATGGTTAGGGTATGGTATGAATCGATTCTGGGTTCTACTGACACCCTGCAGCTTATTGAATAGTTTTCTAGAGACCCAATACACTATTTACATTACTAACCAAAATTTTGGTATGCCGACATACACACATTCAAATATTAGGAAAAAAAGTAGGCTATCAACACGTATTTACCATTTATTTATATCTTTAAAGATTAAGCGATGATTTGCTAAAAAACATTTCCCAAATATAAGTTAAAATGTTCATGGCATAAACTTATAATTACACAGATTGCATTTACGACAAAACTTAATTATACACAAAAGTTGGAGATGTATAGCTCAAAATTACACGTTTGCTGATGATGTAGATCCTTTACGTAGAAAAAACTATATTTTAAAGTGAAATAGAATGTGGGCAAACACCAATCATCAATATTTTTTTAAACAAATACGCTTTCTTAAACATTTCAATGACAGTTTGAACAAAGCCACACTAAAAAAACAGGCCGTAATGCTCGTGAAGCATGACGTCACGATAGAAGACGGCAATGACGTAGTTTGCCGTTTGTGATCAGCTGCTTGTATTAATCTTTCCTTGGGAAATAAATAAACAAATACCCTTTGTCACAAAAATATTAAACATTACGTCATTGCCGTCTTCTATCGTGACGTCATGCTTCACGAGCATTACGACCTGTTTTTTTAGTGTGGCCTATGTTTGAAACAAGCTGTTAGCTAAACCAGCACTGAAAAAACTTTAAATTGTTAGTATTTGCTGCTAGACTTGAAAAATTAAAACTAAAAAAAAAAACTGAAAACCTAAACTAAAATTGTGGCTTCAACATTCCCTTCCTTTTAAAATTAAATTTCATAATTTCTTCCAACTCAAAAATGATGAAAATCTGTTTAGTGGTTGATTCATAATTGTGAAGTAAAAAAAAACCATGTCTTGTTTTAATATATAAGATATCAAAACAGCATTCTGTAAGCTAACAACTAAAGTAATAGTGAACAGTCCTTGTTCAGTTTTAACCTCTACCTGTTTTATGCTTTGTCAACAGGATGGCTGATCATATAGAAAGCTGTGACACATTCTCCCTGGCCAGAATAAAATTCTTGGTTCTAGACGAAGCAGACAGACTTTTGAATGGAGCGTTTGATGAACAGCTACAGACAATCTTCAGTTGTCTACCCAAGCAGCGTCAGACCTTGCTGTTCAGTGCCACCATGACCGAGGCACTCGACACTGTCAAGCAGGTGGCCACCAATCAGGTTAGTAATGTGGCTCAACCTTTAAAACTGTGAATTTTGTAGTTAAAAATAGGATGAGCAGGTTCCAATTTTGAATTCCTTAAAACAGAGGTGTCGAGAAATCATCGATTCTAAATTATTGAGACAGTATTATACTGACCAGAATCCCCGTGATTGTAGACAAAGCATGATCATCTATCATGTTTGTGTTAACATCTTGATAATCTCCCAGGCAATCAAAAAATCCTGTCGGATAAACAAGATAAGAATCAATACTACCCAAATATTCCAGTTTTCAACTACCCCCCTCTTAAATAATCAGATACATTTTGGATACATAAATAAAACTTTTATCATCCATTTAACTTTTCAAAATTGTTCGTTGAGTATTTTACTAAACTTTTATATTTGTTTTTTTACTAATCTATTTTTATTCATTATGTATGTTAACTTGAGCTGGAATTGGAATAACATCCAATCGGGCTGCAAATTTAAAGTAATTCCTTGAACTTCAGTTTCAATAAAACTTGTGGAGTTTAGATTTATTTATGGCTCTAACAATATTATTTAATTAAATAGCTGTATAACAATAAGTGAAAAAAAACTGCAAAAGAGTTAACAAATCAGATAGGTAGGCCTAATTACTTTAAGTAAGTAATTTTATAGGTAGCAAATCGGTCAAATTCTCAATATATTACCATACTATTTTATTAAATACTAATGTTAAGTAGCTGACATTTTCACGAAATATTTTAATACCTTACTTGTAGCAGTTTTACGTCTTATGTCATGAGGCACCCTGTATATTGTGATGAGTTCTGTTGCAGGTGTTGTTGTGGGAGGCTGAGTCGGAGGTGGCCACAGTTGATCAGTTGGAGCAGTGGTACGTCTTATGTCATGAGGCACCCTGTATATTGTGATGAGTTCTGTTGCAGGTGTTGTTGTGGGAGGCTGAGTCGGAGGTGGCCACAGTTGATCAGTTGGAGCAGTGGTACGTCTTATGTCATGAGGCATCCTGTATATTGTGATGAGTTCTGTTGCAGGTGTTGTTGTGGGAGGCTGAGTCGGAGGTGGCCACAGTTGATCAGTTGGAGCAGTGGTACGTCTTATGTCATGAGGCACCCTGTATATTGTGATGAGTTCTGTTGCAGGTGTTGTTGTGGGAGGCTGAGTCGGAGGTGGCCACAGTTGATCAGTTGGAGCAGTGGTACGTCTTATGTCATGAGGCACCCTGTATATTGTGATGAGTTCTGTTGCAGGTGTTGTTGTGGGAGGCTGAGTCGGAGGTGGCCACAGTTGATCAGTTGGAGCAGTTGTACGTCTTATGTCATGAATCACCCTGTATATTGTGATGAGTTCTGTTGCAGGTGTTGTTGTGGGAGGCTGAGTCGGAGGTGGCCACAGTTGATCAGTTGGAGCAGTGGTACGTCTTATGTCATGAGGCACCCTGTATATTGTGATGAGTTCTGTTGCAGGTGTTGTTGTGGGAGGCTGAGTCGGAGGTGGCCACAGTTGATCAGTTGGAGCAGTGGTACGTCTTATGTCATGAGGCACCCTGTATATTGTGATGAGTTCTGTTGCAGGTGTTGTTGTGGGAGGCTGAGTCGGAGGTGGCCACAGTTGATCAGTTGGAGCAGTGGTACGTCTTATGTCATGAGGCATCCTGTATATTGTGATGAGTTCTGTTGCAGGTGTTGTTGTGGGAGGCTGAGTCGGAGGTGGCCACAGTTGATCAGTTGGAGCAGTGGTACGTCTTATGTCATGAGGCACCCTGTATATTGTGATGAGTTCTGTTGCAGGTGTTGTTGTGGGAGGCTGAGTCGGAGGTGGCCACAGTTGATCAGTTGGAGCAGTTGTACGTCTTATGTCATGAGGCATCCTGTATATTGTGATGAGTTCTGTTGCAGGTGTTGTTGTGGGAGGCTGAGTCGGAGGTGGCCACAGTTGATCAGTTGGAGCAGTGGTACGTCTTATGTCATGAGGCACCCTGTATATTGTGATGAGTTCTGTTGCAGGTGTTGTTGTGGGAGGCTGAGTCGGAGGTGGCCACAGTTGATCAGTTGGAGCAGTTGTACGTCTTATGTCATGAGGCATCCTGTATATTGTGATGAGTTCTGTTGCAGGTGTTGTTGTGGGAGGCTGAGTCGGAGGTGGCCACAGTTGATCAGTTGGAGCAGTGGTACGTCTTATGTCATGAGGCATCCTGTATATTGTGATGAGTTCTGTTGCAGGTGTTGTTGTGGGAGGCTGAGTCGGAGGTGGCCACAGTTGATCAGTTGGAGCAGTGGTACGTCTTATGTCATGAGGCATCCTGTATATTGTGATGAGTTCTGTTGCAGGTGTTGTTGTGGGAGGCTGAGTCGGAGGTGGCCACAGTTGATCAGTTGGAGCAGTGGTACGTCTTATGTCATGAGGCATCCTGTATATTGTGATGAGTTCTGTTGCAGGTGTTGTTGTGGGAGGCTGAGTCGGAGGTGGCCACAGTTGATCAGTTGGAGCAGTGGTACGTCTTATGTCATGAGGCATCCTGTATATTGTGATGAGTTCTGTTGCAGGTGTTGTTGTGGGAGGCTGAGTCGGAGGTGGCCACAGTTGATCAGTTGGAGCAGTGGTACGTCTTATGTCATGAGGCACCCTGTATATTGTGATGAGTTCTGTTGCAGGTGTTGTTGTGGGAGGCTGAGTCGGAGGTGGCCACAGTTGATCAGTTGGAGCAGTGGTACGTCTTATGTCATGAGGCATCCTGTATATTGTGATGAGTTCTGTTGCAGGTGTTGTTGTGGGAGGCTGAGTCGGAGGTGGCCACAGTTGATCAGTTGGAGCAGTGGTACGTCTTATGTCCAGTGGCAGTCAAGGATGGCTACCTTGTGGAAACAATACGAAAGTTCTCATCTTCACATTCTAACCCTTCAATCATTGTTTTCACAGAAACTTGCAAGTATGTATTGGCCCAAAAATAAAAAAATGTAACATTTAATTAAAATATAGCAGACATTTGGTTATTATTCAATAGATAGGTTTATATAATAAATGAGGTACGTTTTTAAAAGAGTTTATTCAGCATTGCCTCCAGGATTGATTTAAGACAATATAAAATAGGTTACGTACCTTTACGTCGTCAATCCTAGGTTAGTCTTTTTAGCAGCGACTAGTTTCGAAACTGACGTTTCATTTTCAAGCCTTGTCAAACATAAAATTATTTGAACATAATGTCGTCGTCAAAGTACACAAATATAACATTTAACACGCACAAATACATTAAGATACAGAAAGACGCGCAGCCGGCCATTACACGCACGACGGACACGACTCAACTACCGACTGCCAGCAGTTGTATAGTTCGTATAGTTTGTATAGTTCGTATAGTCGTATAGCAGTCGGTAGTTGAGTCGTGTCCGTCGTGCGTGTAATGGCCGGCCGCGCGTCTTTCTGTATCTTAATGTATTTGTGCGTGTTAAATGTTATATTTGTGTACTTTGATGACGACATTATGTTCAAATAATTTTATGTTTGACAAGGCTTGAAAATGAAACGTCAGTTTCGAAACTAGTCGCTGCTAAAAAGACTAACCTAGGATTGACGACGTAAAGGTACGTAACCTATTTTATATTGTTTTAAAAGAGCTTTTTTGTTTTGCGTAAAACTCTGTAGTTTGTATGTTCGCAGCAACGAGTTGACTCACTGCTTAATGGCATCATTGGTGAACAGAATGGCCCTATTTGCAGTTCTGTAGCTGACATGTACTCTTCACTGTGTGTTTAGAAGATTAAAAAAATGTTTGAACCTCCCTTCGCATATGAAATAAGGTTGTGACACTTTTTTTACCACAACAAATATATCTGATGCCAACATTTATCACCAGATAACTGAAGATTATGACCCTAATGCAATGATTGTTTTCCTTGTTAAAGTTCTAGCTTCTGTTTTAAAATGAAAATGAACTCGGTTGAATTGGACCACTGACAGAGTACGCTGATGTCAGTTACTGATTTTTGTCTAGTTTACCACCTTAAAGCCAAACTGAAAAACAATGTTTATATAAACTTTATCATATTTTATGTCACATAAACAATAATAAGAGAGAATAATAAGTGAGTGATGTCAATTTCAGTATCCAAAAGTCAGACTACACCACACAGGCCTAAATAACCTCCAATTAACACCTTTGCTGCGGGCCACTCACCGGTGGGCGGTGAGTGCTCTAGTTCCTTTCTGCCACGCTGAACCCTCACCAGTGAGTGCTAGAATCACCTACATTCCATTTAATTTCTGCCCAGCAGCACACCGGGAAGAACGGGTATTTTTATGTCTGCGTTTAGCTAGAAATGGGTGCTTTATTGTTGTGTAGGTTGATAGTAAATTTCCCTGTAAAATCCCTTCTAGCAAGCTGAGAAATCAACTCGTTGTCTTGTCCTTCTCCCTCCAATTGGCAATACAATGGGACCGGCTAGTTCCAGGCAGTGCTGCTATCTGTGAGTGCTTTAGTGAACTACGTCGACTCTCGTCGTAACACAGCACATCACCGCACGTCATTTACTATTTGTCAGACCGAATTATTTGAAAGCCAAACGGGTTCGTTTGATGTTGCGCCGCACTGGGGCTATGTCTGCCATTTGGAGGGCTGCAGCGAACGTGTTAAACATGTACACAAGTCTATCGGTACTACAATTGGCTCTGATGTCAGATGTAAGCCTCTCTTCTGTGTTTTGTTGCAGGAACTGCCAGTTGCTATCCATCACTCTCAATGAAGTTGGGTTTGAAAACGTACCTCTTCATGGGATGATTTCCCAGAAAGAGCGACTTGCCTCACTTGCAAGGTTCAAGTCAAACACTGTCAAGATACTCATTGCTACAGATGTCGCTAGTAGAGGTATTGCCACTTGTGATTTGTTATTCAGTACTTATGAACATTTATTTTCGCTACTGTTAAGTCTTAGTGGTGTATAATAACTGTAAACTAGTGAACCTGTGCGGCTCAATGCCCCGCAAAATAACATATGAATTTTGAAAACAAATTCATCGTATTATATATACCTATTGACTCGACGACAAAAATTAAACAGTAATAATGAAGCCTTGGAAGGGAAGCAGTCCAGCCATTTTCTAGCTGTAATGTGTATTATATTTAGTAAATTAATAAGTGTTCAAGTTCAAGTATGTTATAGGCAGCGAGCAAGGTTATAGGGTAGTTATTTTTAAAGATTTTTAAAACACATTTAACAAAACATTTTATAATATCAAACCAATAGGCCTATGTAGCATATTTTGAGGGTCATAAAAATGCTGCTTGAAGAAAACACACTTTTAAAAATAAACACTAAAAAACAATATTTTAATCACAAAAGCACTTCCATGAATACCTACTACGATTTTAGCCTTAAAGTTACCTTCAGGAAGATTACCCTCGTCAGAGTTTTCCGTAACGAATATGCGTATCCTATTAAAAGATGTAGCCTTACTTAAAACAACATATAATATAGTTGCTCATGACTGAAATTGGTCTGGGTAAGAACAGCGCTGCAAATGCCAAAGGTAACAGAAATTAGCATCTTTCCATTTTAAAAGGTAAGTTTTTTCAGACGGGTGAATTTTTATCCTCGAAATCAAAATACGTCCCCACTCACTTGTTCCATATTAGTCTAATCTGTGTCTTGGCAATCCACTGACCTCTATATTTAAAAACTCAGTTGGATTTTCTAGATGGATGTCTCCGCTTTCGTCTGTTTTTGAGGACTCACTCTTCTTCCCCTTGGCATACTGACAATTAACTTGTCAAGTTCATGTAGTAATTCATTAATACTGTTGGTTTATAAAGAAAATTAGATAAAAGATACTTGGCTTGGTGCTTTCATAACTGCAAACTCAAAATACACCCATAAGTAAAAAAGAATCAAGTTATTGGTTAAAAAAAACTATTTTTGTGTAATATCACTATTCATATGAAGTAGATGATTTGTTTAATTTGTCAATCAGCTGTTTAGTTTCAAATGAATTGATAATGTCAAAGATTTGTGATTTTTAATACATAAATTATTATAGTAAAGTTTTCTAAATCATGGTATCTCAACTAAATTTTACTATTCCCAGCATTAAAATAAAGTAGTAAGGTCCATTATGGGTAAACTTTAAGGTACACAATCCTTGATTGAAATGTAGTATACATTAAGAGTCATAATACAAAGCAATTATTATGTAGTAGACTTTGACTATTTTCAAGTAACAAACATATGTTTCTGTAAATAAAAATTATCTCCCATGTTATCCTTATGGAGAAATACGAAACTTTAAAGGGCCCTAGGGCCTCACTCTCTAATTATTTCCCTAAAAAGAAAGTTTCCTGCACAACTTCACGTTAAGCTCTTTACAATGACACCAAAAACATGTCAATCGGTTCAGTAGTTTCGGAGGAGTAATTGTCACAAAAAACCTGCTTGCGTATTAAATAAGTATAGATGTAAATGCAAATGAAGAGACTAAATTGGCTAATGTTTGCTTATTATTAATCTTATTTATTCTCCCATAACCATTTATACAGTCGTTCTTGACTTACATTGATCCTATGCATCTCCTTCATCGTCTATCAACATTCTCGAGTTACTTCATCTTTTCACCTCTTTGGGGGTCCATGGGTCTATTTTTATCAGGATTTTTCTTCCATTTTTATTTATCATAGTTTCATATCCCCTATTTATATAAGTCCATTTCAAAAGTGTGATGTGCTTTATTTATGCTTCAGCAACTACATCTGGTGATGTCAGTTTTAAATCTTGCCACAAAATTAAGATAAATATACATAAACGAAATGCCACAAATAAAATGAATGTATGCAAAAATATGACAAAAAGGCCATGCAACATAGGTAATTTAAGGGGAGATGCCCACTTTTTAGATTTAATGCATTTTATATGGGTAAACATCGTGTTGCTTAGGTACCATTTAAGAAAGAACCCTTTTAGCTATGCATATCAAATTTTAACTACTTATTTGTATTGACATTTAAGACAAACTGTACTAATTTAAATATGTTCTACCAAAAAAATCATATTTTATCAAAATTTTTAAAATATATAATTTTTTTCACTATTTTACAAACATTAATTAATTTTATTGTTAATGTTTTTTTAAACATAGAAGCAAACTTTTAGTACACTTTGTGGGCCATGATGTCCTAAGTAACAGAAAAAAATTTGAAGTCAGTGGTATTTATAGTAGTCTGGAAAATGGTACCTAAACATTAAAAAACACAGTTTCGGAAAAACTCATTTAAAGTCAAGCCTAGGCCTACCCTATGCCACATTATTCCTCATCACAAACAGCACTATTATTATATACACATATGTTATGAAGAAAGAAAAACAAACAGAAAAAGATTTTTGTTGACTATTTAACCTAGCAACAACATTTATTCAGTGCAACCATTCAAAAAATTAAATTTCTAACATTAAATTTAATTGACGCTAATTCAGCCCATTGTGAATAAAACCGAGTGTGTAGTACTATTTATATTATTTTTTATGATTGTTAGACTGTAGTAAATATATTAAAAATATATATTTTCTGAATCTGGAAAAGATGACAAATTTTTCAATGCAATAAACAAAAAATTAATTTTTTGACCGAAAAACTGGACATCTCCCCTTAAAACAAATCCAATTATGCAATGCAAGTTTTATATAATTGTCCTTGTAGGAAGACTAAAATATTTAACAACAACAGATGTAAACTGTTTATTCTTTGTTTGAAGTTCAACTGTTTAGCAAACAACATTACTACAATTATCTCCTTAAAATCTAAAATGTATTTTTCAAGAACCAATGTGTTGTAATGTTCCTAACAACTGCAAATTGTAAGCTGTTTTTACATTCCTATTTCAGGTCTAGACATTCCGGCAGTAGAATTGGTAATCAACCACGATATGCCTAGTAGCCCGACGACCTACATACACCGGGTTGGTAGGACTGCCCGAGCTGGTCGCAGCGGAACGGCCATCAGTCTGGTCACACCTCATGACCTGCGACTCCTACAGGCCGTGGAACAAGCCATCAACACCAAGCTGCAGGAATATACCATCAGCGGTAAGCAATATCAGTAAAATATGTGATAAAATGTCACCAATGATACTCATGATGTGGTATTTTAACCTCTAGATTAATTGACAGATTTGCTTAAAATACCTTTAATCCGTCAATGTCACCAATGAGCGGCGACCGGTTTCAGCCCAGCTGTGGGCCATCCTTTTTATCTTCCTGAAGATAAATATGTGTTTATTTATGTCAGAATTAGCTTACTCAAGGTTTAAAAATATGAAAACTCACTAAGAGATGTATTTTATTGGGCCAGTTTGTATATTTAAACTACTGAAGTGAATCCCATGGAGGAGGGGGAGGCTGACTTAGTTACTGAGCTTTAACATTGATTTTTGTTACAGTTTTTTCAATAGTTAAGTTTGATATGGTTTGGCAAGTATCCTTGCCATGTCATCTTTCAATGGACTAGTACTAAATGAAAGCTCAACTTGTGTCTGCCGAACATTCATAACTTAAGAGGAGTTTGTATTTTGATGTTATTAAAACAGCATAATTCTCAAACCATTATCAGCCGATCATCAATAACAAAAGTTTACAGTCAATCAGAACCAGGCATTACTACATCTTTTAAATATTTGCTTTGCGTTTAAATATTATTTTGGTAACTTTTTTGTTATATGTAGCGAACAGTTGTTAGATTAATTGAATCATTTTGAAGCAAATATGACTTTGATTAGGCCTTCTACCTTTAGTAGGGCGCTTTAACTTAATTTTAACTTAAATGTAGCCAACAATTTGTTAGTTTAATTGAATCATTTTGAAGAAAATATGTCTTTGATTAGGCCTTCTGCCTTTAGTAGGGCGCTTTAAGTTTATTTTAACTTTAAAATACACAACTTGTGGATTGCTGGCCTTGTGTTAGGCACACAGCCCCATAATAACAATCTATATATAAAAAAATATTGGTTTTCTTTTCCAAGTGGGTTTGGCTATTCACTCGATTGATTTTTATAATTTTGATCTTAAATTAAAGGTATGCACGCACAGATTTGCTATCCTTAAGCATCATCACTTATTTATCCACTGTATCACTTAACCAAAAAACAAAAATTTGATTTTTTCGAATTCTTACATTAATTAAAGATGCATTTCACCAGTTGTAACTACACTATCCAATGTTTTGGTCTAATAACATTCAGTGAAATACCAGATATCATTTGAGCTATTGATTATTACGATCGGACCTACCTGAAGCATGCTGCTGAATCACGAATCAACCATTATTACAGTCCAACCTCGGTATAACAAATCTGAAGGGACTGAACTGAATATTTGTTATATCAAGGATTTTGTTAAAATGAGGTTCGTTATATTTAAGGTTATTAAGATCAAATCACAATAGAATAAAATAATAATTAATGGCCATGTCAGGACCAAAATAACTACATATTTTGTTATTCTTTCACACATTGACACATATTTTATTGAAGAAAAAGTATACAACAAATTATGCTTTAAATATTTTTAGGGATTATAAGTTTTGTAAAGTTTGCCTCTCAGTTTTAAAAGATAGGGAAATAGCCACCTTAACACATTTAAATACTGAGCTCTGCTTGCTAAATTCTTCTACCATAAATGTTTAACTCAACACTGCCAGATTTGCTATTGTTAGATGTTAAGTATGATTGTCAAATTATTTTGCAAAGGTCTGTTTTGGTCAAGCGAAAATAAAATGCAACATTAATTATCCTATTGTTGTTATAACATTCTCTAAAGTCGATTGCTGTTCCCTTGCACTTAGAAATCAATAACAAACTATCTGAAGTTTCAGGATGAATCTTATTAGCTTCATGTTATGTTAACTTTTTTTAACTGTTATAATGTTAACTTTTGTTGTTACTTCATTTTACAGGTAAAGAAGTCGCAAAAATCTTTACTCAAGTCTCCGTCACAAAGAGGGAAGCCGAAATAAAACTGGATCACAATGACTTTGAAGAAAGGAAGAAAGTAAACAAGAGGAAGAAATTGATATTAGAAGGTAAAGATCCTGATGAAGAAGAAAAAAGACAAGAGGAAGAAAAGAAACAAAAGTTAAAAGAGACCAAGTTAGCGATAAAGAAAAGGATGAGACAAAGAAAACGTGAGATCAAAAAGTTTGTTAAAGAAAATGTACAAAAAGATTTGAAAAGCTGATTGGAGCTGTTACTTATGTGATTGTTAATAAATATCCTTAATTATTAACGTTACTGTGTATTTATTTTTTAGGCACCATGCACAGATTCTCTTCCGTGTTTCTCTTCTTAGCTGTGGTATTATTTCAATAGTCTTGATTCTCTGACCTAAACCAACAGAGACACATGATTCATGCAGTAAGGTCAGAGTTGCTATGGAGTATTTTTGTAAATCGTTGGTCCAAGCTACATCAATTAATTCCATCCAACTAAAAAACTAGCCAATTCCTCCATTTAACATTTTTTAAGTAAATAAGTTTATTATTATTATTATCATGGCTTTCAATAATCAAGTGGTTCACACCACCTTCTCTGATGTGTAAGTTTGCTCATTGAATTACTTTATTTTAGAAGACTGGTAGGTATAAGGGATTATCGTTTATTTTACATTTGGTTCTAAAGCAAAGCAACAGGAACATTACTATGCAATTTTCTAACTACATGTTAGCTAAGCCATATTTTTCTGTAGTTATCAAAAAATAGATGGATTTGAATTTGAATCACTAGTTGCGGCTAGTTCTCATTCCTTCCAAGGACAAATCAGTAATATCATAGATAAAACATACTCCCTTAGTAGATTTCCCATCCTTACGGAACAGCTGAAGCCAATTTTATTGTTAGTTCTGTCCGTTTTTCTGTAGAGGTCGTGTTTTGTTTACAATTTGTTTCCCGTTATTACAGCCATTTAAAACCTCGTTTAACCAAATAATACGATCTAATCATAAACAATAACTTGTCCCCTAGTTATATAACCAAACAGTAAAGCACAAATCAAGAAATTAACCCTAAAATAATAGAAACAAAGTTTCGTCGACACTAGCGCCTTGGTGTCACGTACATGAACTAGACACGAAAAACGTGCTTCAAAATTTACAATGGGATGAGAAGTCTACTTGTGTTGGTTAGTCTATGGTAATATCCTCAGGCCGCTAAAACCAAAATATGATTTTTTACAAAACACAAAAACATCATTTACAGTAGACTCCCTCTTATCCGGACACCTTTTAACCGGACATCTGTTTAACCGGACTACACTTGGCGGAAATTACATCTCTTTAACTGGACAATTTTTATCAGCACATTGGTTTAACCGGACTAGATCGGCAGGAAGTGGGCAGTACTGAAACGACTGTTCTCGTGGGGAAGATTTGAGACCAGTGATCACGTGTCTAAATACAATGCTCTCATAAATTTAAGGCGAATATCACAGTAAATAGTCCGTTTTAACGAGTTTTTGGGGACGTCGGTTTAACCGGAAACCCCGTTATCCGGACTGGCCTCGGTCCCGAGGAGTCTGGATAAGAGGGAGTCTACTGTACAGAAAATAGTTGACATTTATTAATAAAGACATATTTTCGAAAAACATGGAAAAAGTTTGAAAAATGTGCATTTTTAACCTTTTGTAACGTAGGTTCACTTTAGCAAGATTATAAGAAGGACTATTCTTGTTTGGAATTTAAATTTTGTTCTAAATGAAATGGTGTTGGAATATTCAATAAAAACATAAACAGAAAACTTACAAATTGTCAACTTCATCACCCTAAAAATCTGCTCAAAATGGTGTATGTATTTAAAAAACAATGTAGGAACTAATTAATGAACAGTTTGGAGTCATAAGTGGACTTTCATTTTGCATACAGTATTGCGGTTGGGCAGTTATTTTGGCTAATTGTATGATACCAACCTTGCGTTCATCATCACCTTAAAATATGCACGTCAGTGTGCAGCGTGTGAATACAATATTATTCTGAAAACTGAACTGCATGAAAACTAAAATGTTATTGGGTCTCCAATTCTAGAATTTGATAAGCATCAACTTATAGTCTAAAGAATTTGGGATTTTAAATTTAGCTAGCTTACCCGAGAAAATAAACAGCCCAAGGTTTTTTTATATATACACAAAATGGTTCACAATGTAACAATGATAAATAATCCTCTTCTGAGAGACGATTAAGATTAAGAGATACATTCTACTTCCATAGGTTTAATAACAATGAACTTCTGAAGGTTTCCCAATAATCCACTTTCTGAAGATTATATTTTTACGACAGTTACACGCCAGGTTTCATATTTTAAGGCGAAGATGAATGTTGAATGAATCAGGTGACATTTATCAGCTGGTTCTTTAGCAAGGATTAATTATTACGAAGCCCAATGATCAGGGACAGCTGGGTCCAGTTTCGAACTATTAAAAAGATTTGGACTTTTCTCAGGATCGAACCGACATCCTTCATTCAAGAAGTCTAGTGCTAGGATGGAAAATCAATGTTATTTGTTATTTTGTGTGTATCACTTGGTGAATCTATATTTTTAGGGTGCTATACTGTAATAAAAAATATATTAAACTCTATAACTACTTACCAGTCACATAGCTTTTTCTTGAAACATAATAAACTGAGAATAACAATCTTTGCTGTGATTTGTATTAGGCAATAGACAATATTTCTTTATCTAAATATTCGTTGAGCGTCAACAAGGACTATTCAATACACCAGCATAGCAATACATATCTATTAAGGGAAAATATTCAGTTCGCCTGTAATTCAACGAATGAGATTGCTGACTTAAGACAGTCAGTTAAACATCAACTGTATCAGTAAGACTAGATAGGGACAAAGGGATTTTCAAAGTGAAACATCAAAATAGATTTTGTATAACAGTTTAATAAAACACATCAATGGTTCAAATTAGATTGTGGTACAAATTTTTCTTTCATATCACAGAAACATTTAGATGAAATAAACAAAGTAAAAGTTTTCAAAGTGAAAAATAAGATCATGAAATTACTTAGTAATCATGATAAATCTTATCACATATGAACTTACAATAATTACAAATTCCCAGATACATCATGCAAGATATTTTTTCTGTTACACATTATAACCATTGTATAATCTTGCTGTTGGGAGATTGCCTTGACGTTGAACCGGCAAAAATACTGATACATGTTTAGAATATGATTATCTACATTAGCCAGTATTTTGCCAGTTCAACAGGTTATCTACCGAAGAGCAAGACTTTACAGTGTACAGAATGTAAAGCCTTTCTAGTTGAAAACTGAAAACTATACGTTTAACGTAAAATAGTTTCATTTAATATTCTATAGGTAATACTCGAAAGTTTTGAAAAAAGTAAAGTGAAAATAGATAGTTTATTCATCTTTTCTATCCTCATCTAACCTCACACAGACCTGCATTAATTTCATCCTAAATAAAATTGTCTTTTTGTGGAAGAATTAATTTTAGTATATCTGGGTATTTTTTATAATAACACACAATATTTATAATATAATCTAGGTTCAGAATAAAAGTATAAAATACATAAAATAATAAGTCTGGTGGCATTAATGGTGTTTAAAAGGCTACAAGTGGCAAAAGTATGAAGTAGTGAGAATATAGAGTGAATATTATTTAATCATAAAGACTTATTTACTCCTAAAACAATGTTGAAAAAATGTAGTGTTAAGGTTACATCTGTATTTTAATCATTACACTCATAATCATCAAGGCATATTAAATCAGACACTAGAAGTCAGCGCTTTTTGGGCAATTGTCTGACACACATGAAGAAAAAAAGAAATTCTTGATTAATAGCAGATTTACTTTCAGAACAATGGGTTACCTAAAAAACATCAAATACCAAATATGGTCAGTAATAATGCCATCCTGTAATATATATTTTATTACAATTTCTTTTTGCTATACATTATGACTTTCAATGGTAAAAGAAACACGATTGATTGATAGTTTCAAGATAAATTGTACATGTTGAAATTCTTAGTTTTAACAGTCTTTCAGTAAAACTTAAGTCTTTACTGTGGGCCAAATTTATATTACTGAATGCAACACTGACTAATAAACCTCTATGACTAAAATATCAGACTAGCTAAACTAACTTGGTATTTTTTGAACAAATATTATATAAATGAACAAATTACACTAACCTAATTATCTAGATCACTGCTTTGCTATGAAATAGAGATTCCGTTGTTAAAAAATATATATCTTTAAGTTCAGATTTCATTAGACAGCAAAAAAATTAAACATCATGATCCATCAAATATAAAATGGTCTGTCTTGAGGTTATAGATTTACTGTCTTTGTAAGAGTAAATACTATTATCACATAAAATCCGAATCACATAAAATCCAAATCACTAAATAAAACATTTTAAAGAAGCAAAGCTTGGACACCGGGATGCAACATGTATATGTCGATTTTAAATTTTACAAATCAAAGCATTGACAAAAACTGTTAACAAATTTAAAAACTTATTGATAGTTAACATTAAAGATTTTAATTTAAATTCAAGATCAATATTTGAGCTACATTAGCTCATTTCAAAGCAATATGAATATTTTGAAGGCTAATGCATTACAAACAAAGTTGTTGGGATCTAACTACAGTTTGGCTTGAAGCTTACGTCTCAAGTCTTCCTCATTTTGAATTTGGTCTTTCTCTCCATCTTTTTTTATATTGTCCAGGAAGTTTTCTAGTGTTTCGATGTATTCATCTTTGTACTTTAGGTAGTGACTAACATGTTTAGAGTCATCCCAGCATTTCCATGTGACCTAGAACAAGGTTAACAAAATATTAACCTCTTTCCTGTCAGTAAACAACAACATAATTAAATTACTAAGTTCACACAACATTTTATAAAATGTAACACCGTCCCAAACCGTCATTCATTGATAGTTAATGTCCTTGGTTTGTTCGGCATGAGCAGTAATGTGCTTTTCACAACAGAAAATAGCAGAATTTTTTCCACAGATCAAAATTACAGTGATCTTATAAAATAAATATTACTATGTGATTTTCATGGAAGTAGGTTTCCTGGGACACCAAAATCTTGCCCAATCCATTCTAGGATTATGGGTATTAAAAAAAATGTAAACAACACTCAGTGTGTATTGAAGTAACACATTTTAGTAGACACATTGAAGTAAATTATTTACATTTACATTCGAAAAATTACTCGACTATGAAATATCAGATTATGAAATAAGCCTGAGTACAGTTATTCAGAGGAACTACATTAGACCCCCTCTTAACCGACCTCGTTTTAACCGTTAATCGGATTATCCGCCTTCGATCGTAAAATAATACAGTTTGTTTTAACCGACCTTGCTTTGAGAGCAGCTCGGTTTAACCGCCGCTTTCTAGGAATCTCGGCATTTCCGCTCCCACGCTGGGCGATGAGAACTGAACCATACGCTTATACTACAGGATATGACTAACAATAAGTTATTTTGTGTTGATCACAAAAAATATAGCATAGCCTATTGTCAGTTTGTCATCATCGTTCGTAGCTCGAGCACATCTGATCTGATTTGTTATCTGTGTGGCAAATTTATAACATCATAAAGTGCGTTACGATTTTGAGAACTGATTATCTTATCGCCGGAGTAAACAAACAACGCAACTTGTAGGGAAGGCAGGGAAGGGGGGTTAACAACTCCAAGGTCAAGATAGTTTTTGTGCCTCGAGCCTCCAGTGAGAGGCTATAAATAAACGTCCTTTTTTGTAACAAAATGGTCGCTTGTATCTTTCATGTCGACAAAAGGTTCTGTACTGTATTACGATGTATTTGAAAGCATCAATTAATACATTACAGTACTAAAGTTATTAAAATAGGAATTTTATTGACTCTTGCCTAGTATTATAATATATTCCACTGAAAGTAGGCCTATTTGACTTAACCGTGTTTTGTGTTTATTTGTGACTTTTCTATCAATATGAAAAAGGAGATAAGAGTAGTTTATTTTAAAAATAATGCAAGTATGACTTCAAAATAATCTTACTAATATTATGATTATATATTTCCAAATGAATAGCACTTCATTATGTTATGAATTTAGGGATTGTCCGTTTTATCCAACCTTTTGAGTTATCCGACCTAGGTCCGGTCCCATTAGGGTCGGTTAAGAGGGGGTCTACTGTACTTCTTACGGTTTTTATTGCTTGCTGGAAATTTTGGAAACATAAAGTTGAAAATCAGGGCAAAAAAAACTGTCCTAGTACAGGCATATCAACTATTAACACTATACTTTGTGGTTGGCTGACCAGGATTTGCTTTTTAAATAATATAATATATAAGATTTACCGTCTTGAAGCAATCCAGTTTTTGTACTCAGTGTACAGCACATTCTTCTAGAGGTCAATTCATTATAAATATGCGAACATTCTGGTTCTTGTCAACTTTTTACAACACATTTTACACAACATAAAAGATGAAAACATAAACTTTGGTAGGCCTACCCTAGTTGTATGTCGCGACATAACCTCACTTTTGACACGTGCTCGTCTGTCAGTTGAGCACATGTCAAAAGTGAGGTTATGTCGCGACATACAAGTAGGGTAGGCCTACCAAAGTTTATGTTTTCATCTTTTATGTTGTGTAAAATGTGTTGTAAAAAGTTGACAAGAACCAGAATGTTCGCATATTTATAATGAATTGACCTCTAGAAGAATGTGCTGAAGATGGCTTTATGAAGCCGAAACAGCTGTACACTGAATACAAAAACTGGATTGCTTCAAGACGGTAAGTCTTATATATTATATTATTAACACTAGTTGAGTGAGTGCACTACCTTGATCCCCATGGACTCCCAAGTCTCTTTGAGTCGCAGGTTGGAGGTGATGGAGCCAACAGGATCAGTCTTGGACAGCAGCAGCAGCGCCGGACGATGTACCAGTGTCGTGTGAAACATCTGACTAGAGCGGATGTAGTGCTTGGTAGCTATGTCATCACAGACCTTCAGATGGTAACTGCAAATCAAACTTATCTTAGAAGAAATACAAGTGCTTGGTAGCTGTCATCACAGACCTTCAGGTGGTAACTGCAAATCAAACATAACTTAGAACAAATACAAGTGCTTGGTTAGAAGAAATACAAGTGCTTGGTAGCTGTCATCACAGACCTTCAGGTGGTAATTGAAAATCAAACATAGCTAGAAGGGGGTTCTATGCAATGATCACAAAGCCTTAAAAACACATGATGTTTCCTTAAAAAAATGTAGCACTTTGGCTAACATTCCCGTTTACCGTTTGTAGGAACCAATGTTGTGTTCTTCATTTAGTACAGGCGCTAGGTGCAGTTGAGTATGCATAAAAAGAGTCAGAGATTTTGACTTTTGATTTTGGTAATGGGGGCCTAGGTGAGTGTAAAAACCCATGTCGTCGCCTCCAGGGGTGGTCAACAACTTAGGGGTCGGGGTGCAAAGTTGCGAAAAACGTTAATCGGCAAACAACTTTTAACTCCCTTGTTATTGAATGTAAGTAAAAGGTTAATTTAAATTGACTTTTTATTTTAGTAAAAGGGGCCTAGGTGAGTGTAAAAACCCATGTTGTCACCTCCAGGGTGGTCGACAACTTAGGGGTTGGGGCGCATGTGCATATACTATACAGCCGCATATGTAATCGACTCAGGTATACAAATGTTTGAGCACTTCTAGAGCGGATGGGGAGTTGAAATTTGGCACGCTTCTTGGTCTTGGACCCAAACCTCCAGGAACAGTCTGAAAAATGACAATTTCAAATTTTAACCCCCCCAAAATTTTGAATTTTCCCTCTATGTTATTCTTACGGGGAATAGCATTGAAAGTGGTCGACTTCGTGTGCTCATCTGAACCATTTAGTAAAGTGCTAGGGACTTGAAATTTTTTAGTATTGTCGTTTTAGATCTTACATTAACGATCATTTACCACCCGATTCAAAGAACACCTGCCTAAAATTTCCTATAAGTCGGCATTTTCCAACCATTTGATTAATTCCAACCACAACTATACAGATATAAACAATAATCTCAACGTTCTCCATTTATGTAACAAAGGAAAATACATGGACACATTAGAAGAATTTGAAATATATCGTGCTTCAAAAAAACAGCCTGATAAATGGCTGACACCTAAAAATGAATAAAACACTTTTTTTAAATCGCTATAGCTCTAAAATGGTTAGGGCTAGAAAAGATTTGAAAGAATTTAATGATCAGGAATTACATTTTCTACAAAACACTATTAGGCGTTTTTCGAAAATCAAACTCCTTCACCTTCAAAAAATGTCCTTTTTTCTAATTTTAGTAAATTTATTTCAAATTTATTATGATTTTAGCTATTTTTTCTACCTAATATTAATAAATAATAATGCGTTTCAATAAATAATAATAATAAATTAATTAATAATTACAAATATTATTAATTCTTTATATTTAACATAGTTTACTTTAAATCCTACTCATTACATGTTTTTCCGTAACTTCACTCCTTGACCCCCAAAACTTTAATGTCAAAATTAGAAAGGTTTTTACCACTTTAACGAGCCCTATTTTATTCTTACGGAGAATCTATATATATAATACGTGAAGCCGTTTTTTGTTAACGCAACTCCTCCCTTAATTGTGGACCGATTTCAACGTTTAAGGTGTCAAAAGATTCGTTTCAATATGCAGTTTGGAATAAGGTTTTAGAATTTTTAAATTCCTACTCTTAAGGGCGTGAGACCCTCTCAAATGTCGGGGTTTCCCCCTAAGAAATACATAGAACAAATTTAAAAACAAAATACCCCCGCCGCAGCAAACCTGCCGACTAAGCGAATTTCCATTTGTCTGAATTGATTTTCAATTAAATATATTTTAATAACATTAGGTTTAATGAGTACCTACCTAGGTTTGCTGCTACAAGGAACCTAATAAAGTGTGTTTTTGAGTAAAATATTGATAGCTTAGTACAAAATAAATAAATTTGCCAAGTTTGATCAAAATATATCCATAAACAATCAAATTACAACATTTGACAATATTCTCCATAAGAATAACATGAGAATTTTAAATTTACAATTTTTTTAATTTTCTCCGTTACTAATAATCAAACAAAAATACTTTTATATACTAAATTATTTGTTTTTTTAAGGTGTTTAAAAAGGTCTAAAGAGAAATTGGGAAATTTTGTGTTTTGAGGGTCAAAAGTGAGAAAAACCAATTTTTACCCCATAAAACCCCCCCTAAAGCCCTGTTCCCATGGTCCGATCATGCTGGTTCGCGAACTCATTCAAGTTTATCTCGCTTTACACCTTTAAACCAAATTTCATCAAAATCGGACCAAAATTACTCAAGTTATCGCGTTCACGGACGTATATATATATATATATATAAATCTATATATATATATATATATATATATATATATATACATATATAAAAATTTGAACGAATGGTGTTTTTGGCCTCTGGGGACATCAAAATGAAAAAGTAAATCGGTCCCGGGTCTAGGTCTTACCGTGCCACCTACGGTAATAGCTACTTCCCTATAGGGAAATTCGCTAAAAACAGCTGTTTATAAAAAGAAACTCATTAGCTTTTTGGAAGTAAATAAAAATGTTTGTAATTCAGTAGTTTAAGACCAAGTTAAACAGTTAATCAGTTTTGTTGGAAGAACAGAAAATGCCTCAAGTTCAAAGAAGAAATATTGAAAACGGGAGGATGAGACAATAATAAGATGTCTTATGCGCATGAGGAGAATAGAAAAACAGAGACCTGGTCTAACAGATATCCAGATACACATTCACTTGGTGAGATGAATATTTGCCAGCTCTGCTATGCAACTTACTTTGGAAGTGATAAAATATACGAAGCATATAGTGCTGTCATGGTGGTAAAGTAAACTTGCCTTAAGTCAGATGAAATTAATGTTGTCGACCACCCCTGGAGGTGACGACATGAGTATTTACACTTACCTAGGTCCCCATTACCAAAATCAAAATCTCTGACTCTTTTCATGCATACTCAACTAACCGCACCTAGCACCTCGCCTAATTATGCTGTTGTGCCGCGACGGGTAACAGCTAGTTATTTATATTCTACAAAATTAACAGTAGCTACTAGGATAATTTTTAACCATTACTTGATATTATTATGATTCAACATGATAGAAACTGTATAATCTTACCCAATATATTTTCCTAATGCCAGCCTCATAATGGGATTCCTGGGGAAGACAGCTAGAGGAAGTCCAACCTGTAGCTCTGTGACATCCGCGGCGGAGTCCCATGCTTGTCCGATGATCCTGTAACATACAACAGCCATACTATACAGCTTGATGTCACTGAACCCTAATACATTTCTAACAGCTTATAACCAGATTCAGATTCAGATTCAGAAACACTTTATTCAAGATTTACATTTTACAAATATAAATGCAGAATGGCGTCAATAAATACAATTAATTCTATAAAATATTATCAAAATGCTCACTAAATGAGTAGTAACATTTGCTTAATATAAATATTTTCAATTTCTTTTTAAATGTCTTAATATTATTAATTTCCATTAAATCTTTAGGCAGAGCATAAAAAAACCTAGTACCTGCAGCAGTGGGTTTTTTATTATAAAACTCTAAATTATGCCTCTGGATGGCTGGGTAGTTCCGATGCCGAGTATTATAATTATGTGACATTCCCAATTTTGGAAGTGTATGTGTATTCATTTCACTTTTTAGATTAATTATAGTTTTATAAATATATAATCCATACACTGTAAAGATATTTAATTTAGCAAAATACTGTTTTGCCGATTGGTTTTCTCCCAAGTTTAACATGATACGTATGGCTCTCTTTTGTAAAATTAATATACCATCTAAATTTTGAATGGTTGTTGCACCATATAATTCAATGCCGAATGCAATATGTGAGTTTATGTGAGCATAGTAAACCTTCAGTAAAACATTCAACGGGCAGAGTTTAGACAAGTTGTGCAGCATAAATAGACCTGAACAAATTTTACTTTTTAGTTTATCAATGTGGTACAACCAAGATAAATGTTGATCAATTATTAGTCCTAAGAATTTAGTTTGAGTCACTTGAATTAAGTAATTGTTATCAATTTTTAAATTAGGTTTTAAAGGTTTTTTTTGGGCAGTTGAAAAATTTATATAATTGGTTTTCTCTGAGTTAAGCAATAAGTTTTTGCAAGATAAATATTCATATATAGATTCAAGGCTACTATTGCCTATATATTCAATGTCATTTTTTGATCTACCAGAAACTATTAAATTTTCCACACCAAAAACCACACCCTGCGAAACTGAAAACATGATAGAAAATCTAAATAAATTGTATGATAATTAGCTAGGCAAAGGAAACTGTCACCCGTGACACAGGAAGTTTCACCCGTGACACGGGAAGTTTCACCCGTGACACGGGAAGTTGGCTCTAATTGACCTGATCTAAGTTTTATTTATTTATTTTTTGATATTTTTAAAAGATTGAGCTAAACACATACGTAAAGTACTATAAAACTGTCATCCAAGTGATTACACATAATGTAAGGGATTGTAGATAAAAACTGGTAGAAACCAATACGAATCTTAAGTTGTTTAAGTTTTTTAAGGATGTTTTTGAGGACACTATTGAATTGAAATGCTATGATTACGGTCTCCCTATATAGTGTCACAATATAGTGTACACAAGTACTCAGTGTGTATATAGGTAATGTAAGTTTAATAATCCCGTCTAATGTTTTTGTGTTTACTGTAGTTTGTTTGTTGAGCTAATTTAGTCTTTAATGTAACATATAGAAGATTGGAAGCCTAGTTTTGGCTAGAAAAATGTCTAAGGTCAAGCAGAAGAGAAATGTTAGGGATACAGTACTGCAAACTTGTAGACCAGCTGATTTCCACACTTATTGACATTTAAAAGTTAATTAAAAATACACTTTTCTTCTTTAATTTTTATTGGTTGATTCCTTGGTCCAACCAACTTGATTTTAGCGAATTTCCCTATAGGGAAGTAGCTATTACCGTAGGTGGCATGGTAAAACCTAGGCCCGGGACCGATTTACTTTTTAATTTTGATGTCCCCAGAGGCCAAAAACACCATTCGTTCAAATTTATATATATATATATAGATTTTTATATATATGTGTCCGTAAACGCGATAACTTGAGTAATTTTTGTCCGATTTTGATGAAATTTGGTTTAAAGGTGTAAGGCGAGATAAACTTGAATGAGTTCGCGAACCAGCATGATCGGACCATGGGAACGGGGTTTCCCGGTGGGTTTTATGGGGTAAAAATTGGTTTTTCTCATTTTTGACCTCCAAAACAAAAAATTTTCCAATTTATCTCTAGACCATATTAAAGAGCTTAAAAAAACAAATAATTTAGTATATCAAAGTGTTTTTGTACGGTTATTGGTAACAGAGAAAATTCAAAAAATTGAAAATTAAAAATTCCCATGTTATTCTTATGGAGAATATTGAAAATGTTGTAGTTTGTTTGTTTATGGATATATTTTGATCAAACTAGGCAAATTTATTTATTTTATACTAAGCTATTAATATTTTACTAAAACACACTTTATTAGTTTCAGTTTCCTTGTGGCAGCAAACCTAGGTACTCGTTAAACCTAAATAGATTCAATTGAAAATCATTCAGATAAATGGAAATTCGCTTACTCGGCAGGTTTGCTGTGGCGGGGGTATTATTATTTAATAAAGTGCATTGTACAATGTGTCGACAAACCTGTTGACTATGTGCTCGTAACGTTCAAGATCTTGTTTCATCTTCACCATAACCTCTCCCCAAACATAACCCCCAACGGAGAAGCCATGGACAAAGAGGGGTTCGTTTGTGGAGTTCTGATCAAGGAAACTCAGTACTTCGTCTGCCACCACCTAAAATATTGTAGCATGTTAAAAAAATTAAAAACATTGATATTTAATTGAAAAATACAATTTCCACAAGTTTAGAGTAATGCATATTGTGAAAATTTATACTTGTCTTCAGTTTCGATCATCACCATGCAGTGATGTAGTCGTAAATTTTCCAGTGCAGGAACGTTTACCATCGTCATGGGAAAATTTCAAGCCATATATTAATATGTCGGTTGAATTGAAAAAGCAGTGTAGGAACGCCGTTTCCGCTCCAATACACAGCTAACACATTTCTAAATTGCAAAATGATCACTTAACAGAATATTGACATTGACTAACCAGATAGTTTACACCTACATAAATTTGTGTGTGCAATGAAGCTATAACTTTCAGCAAGTTTCCATAATTTATGTTTTGTGAAAGCCTTGTGTTAATAAAAGAACTTAGCCCTTCCCGGACTATAGGCGGTGTAAAAAAGAGGATAACCCTGTAACCACAGTGATCATCTACGCAGACACTCTGTTCACATTACACTTAGTCGACCAGTTGGTCCGCCTGTATAGTTGATTATACATAGCAACATTAATCTTTGTAAAAACGATATTTTATTCAATTATATCTATAACCAATGTACTAGGAATGTTTTTTTCTAAAAGAATAAACAAATTTAACAACAAAAATAATTTTTTAAATAAAATAAAATATTTTGGACAAAAGTGCTGCATAGGTCAACTAATTACAACATTTAATAATTTACAGATGTAAAAAAAACTTTTCTGCTGTCTGTATACATATTATAGGCCGTCCAGGAAGGGTTTAACAAATAAATATTTTGGATATTAATATTATTTTGGATATATTAATATTTTGGATATTCTTTGTCACAGAGAAATGGTAGGCCGTAACCTTAATATAAGGAGTGATTGTTAAAGCAAATTTTCCGTATAGGGAATAAGCTATTACCAAAGGTCTCACAGTAAGATCTACTACAACTCTTTACTTTCACTTTTTGACATCACTGGAGACCAAAAACATTTCTAAAAATGTATAAATTTATGTGTGTGTGTATGTCCGTAAACCGATATTAACATCACTACTTAATAACTATAATATATACTACTGTATGACTGGTCCCACCTGACTGCCAGTGACTGGGAACAGCAGCTGCCAAGGAGTAATGCTGATGGTCAACACATTGCAGCCTCGGTTGACATAGAACTCACAGTACTTGTTAATATGTTTCTTCTGGGCTAACATCCATGATAGAAGTACAACCAGGGGTCGTGGTGTGTCATTGACCAAACGACCTTGAGTCACCTTGACAGAGTCAGCTGTCACTAGCTCCAGAGACTTTGACAAAGCCTGGCGAGATAGAGCCCTTATCTGTGACATCATCACCACACCAGCACTCTGCAACATCACCTCAGATGAGTCACCTTGACAGAGTCAACTGTCACTAGCTCCAGAGACTTTGACAAAGCCTGGCGAGATAGAGCCCTTATCTGTGACATCATCACCACACCAGCATTCTGCAACATCACCATATGAGTCACTTTGACAGAGTCAGCTGTCACTAGCTCCAGAGACTTTGACAAAGCCTGGCGAGATAGAGCCCTTATCTGTGACATCATCACCACACCAGCATTCTGCAACATCACCATATGAGTCACTTTGACAGAGTCAGCTGTCACTAGCTCCAGAGACTTTGACAAAGCCTGGCGAGATAGAGCCCTTATCTGTGACATCATCACCACACCAGCATTCTGCAACATCACCATATGAGTCACTTTGACAGAGTCAGCTGTCACTAGCTCCAGAGACTTTGACAAAGCCTGGCGAGATAGAGCCCTTATCTGTGACATCATCACCACACCAGCATTCTGCAACATCACCTCATATGAGTCACTTTTACAGAGTCAACTGTCACTAGCTCCAGAGACTTTGACAAGGCCTGACGAGACAGAGTCCATATCTGTGACATCATCAACACACCAGTACCCTACAACATCACCTCATATGAGTCACCTTGACAGAGTCAGCTGTCACTAGCTCCAGAGACTTTGACAAAGCCTGGCGAGATAGAGCCCTTATCTATGACATCATCACCACACCAGCACTCTGCAACATCACCTCATATGAGTCACCTTGACAGAGTCAACTGTCACTAGCTCCAGAGACTTTGACAAAGCCAGGCGAGATAGAGCCCTTATCTGTGACATTATCACCACACCAGCACTCTGCAACATCACCATATGAATCACCTTGACAGAGTCAACTGTCACTAGCTCCAGAGACTTTGACAAAGCCTGGCGAGATAGAGCCCTTATCTGTGACATCATCACCACACCAGCACTCTGCAACATCACCTCAAATGAGTCACCTTGACAGAGTCAACTGTCACTAGCTCCAGAGACTTTTGACAAAGCCTGGCGAGATAGAGCCCTTATCTGTGACATCATCACCACACCAGCACTCTGCAACATCACCTCAGATGAGTCACCTTGACAGAGTCAACTGTCACTAGCTCCAGAGACTTTGACAAAGCCTGGCGAGATAGAGCCCTTATCTGTGACATCATCACCACACCAGCACTCTGCAACATCACCTCAGATGAGTCACCTTGACAGAGTCAACTGTCACTAGCTCCAGAGACTTTGACAAAGCCTGGCGAGATAGAGCCCTTATCTGTGACATCATCACCACACCAGCACTCTGCAACATCACCTCAGATGAGTCACCTTGACAGAGTCAACTGTCACTAGCTCCAGAGACTTTGACAAAGCCTGGCGAGATAGAGCCCTTATCTATGACATCATCACCACACCAGCACTCTGCAACATCACCTCATATGAGTCACCTTGACAGAGTCAACTGTCACTAGCTCCAGAGACTTTGACAAAGCCTGGCGAGATAGAGCCCTTATCTGTGACATCATCACCACACCAGCACTCTGCAACATCACCTCATATGAGTCACATTGTTTACAGCTCATTTTGCTATATAAACAATTAGCTGTTTTGTTGAGTAAGTTATCAACTATTTGGCCTGATTTGGTTGTTTGAATAAAGTTAGATGTACGATATAAAATACTTCTCTGCCTAAATATTAAAAAAATAGCCTAGACAAATTATACAGGGTGTTTTTTTATGTAGGCTATGTCAATGTTTTATTCGAAGATTTGGTAAGTTTTTCTCATATCAGCCTACACAAGATTTAAAATTAATCAAAACCAAAATGGCGGTATCCACTACTTACCAGATTTAAAAGTCATAAAACTTAAACGTTTGTATTAAGGCTATAAAAGTAGAATTTTGTTTCTAAAAGCGTTGGCGGATGTGTAACTATTATATGCAACAGATGTGCAAAAGATATGCAAAAGATTAAAATGTTTCTATTTTGTGTCCTCTTCCCGTTGCAAAGCACGGGTAAAACAGCTAGTATCAAATAAAAGAGCATGAAAAAAGAAAATGTTTGGTGAAAAAAATGGAAAATCGGCTCATGAATTTGTGAGATAATCCCCCCCCCTTTCCCCCTACCCATTACTTTTTTTTAATAGCAAGGTACCCCTTGTGACATATCAAATGAAAGAGCATGAAAAAATAAAATGTTTGGTGAAATTCATTTTTCATTTGATATGTCACAAGGGGTACCTTGCTATTTAAAAAAAAAGTTATCGGTAGGGGGAAAGGGGGGGATTATCTCACAAATTCATGAGCCAATTTTCAATTTTTTTCACCAAATATTTTCTTTTTTCATGCTCTTTCATTTGATATGTCACAAGGGGTACCTTGCTATTAAAAAAAAATATAAGTTCCGGTGAAGGGGGGGGGGATATCTCACACATTTATGAGCCAATTTTAAAATTTTTTTCACTAAACATTTTATTTTTTCATGCTCTTTCATTTGATATATCACAAGGGCATATGCAACGCCCTTGCATATTTAAAAAAAAATAAGTTGGTGGCCGGGGGGAAAGGGGGGAATGTGAATGTAACGTTCACAACAAAACAATTGGGCCCCCTACGTCAATAGATGATTCCCGCAAACTGCATTTTTCTATCTATTGCGGTTTTTACATAAAAAAAGATGCAAGTTTTTAAAAAAACACCCTATAAGAATAAAAAAAAAATTAATATTAGTGTAGATACAGTTAGTTATCTTTAGAAGCTTTGTTAAACCGGGTTTTCCTAGACGCGGAAGAGGAGCGCCGAGAGCGGAAAAGCGATTAATATGACATTCCACTCCGCTTCTAGGAAAACAGTAACCTTAAATTACCTAAGACAAGAGGAGTCCGCTCTCCGCGTTCCTCTCTCCGCGCTCTGCTTCCGCGCCTAGGAAAACCCAGCTTTACTGAATATGGCCAGCTGCCTATGTATTTATTAGGACCTTTTATTCAAAGTCCAATTATCAAGAAAAGGGGTATTTGGTTTAGAATAATCCAAAAGTTACTGACTTGTCTAGTTTGAGATCTTGTGGTCTTTTTACTGACTAAGGCTGATATGTTCCTTAGACGGGACTGTTGATTAATAGCCAATACAGTCATATACCTTTGGCAAAGTATACATTCCTTCTACATGAACCAGCTGTAGCCAATTTCTTATTAAAAGAAAACATTTTAGCTGTATCGTGACATTGTCGATAACTTGTAAAAATTTAAAATACAATAAATAATATTTTATTTCATTGTTTGATGAGCCAGTCACATATTGGACTAGTGTCTAAAATATTATGTTTTCTACCTTTTTAGTTACTGAGATAGTTGACGTGGCATAAAGGATGATAGCTTACAATATGTCGTCCTATCAATCAGACTTGTTTAAAGTAGTCTGCATATTCAAGTCCGCAATATCAGTAATTTATATCAGCGCAATTTGACGGTAGTTCACTTCAACTAAGTTTGTTTTGATTTTAAAACCTGCGACAACTAGGCTATAACATAGCCCTCAACCGGTGCCGTATCACGTGTTTCGTTACCGCCTGGTCAACCAGTGTTAAATGTTCAGTTTCGTGTTTTTGTGTTTTTATGTCGTGTCTATGTTATTTATTTACTAACTATAAACTTTTGACAAACTCCATCATGAGGAATATCTAATGACTGCTTGACATTCTCACGACCTGATGATGTGCTCCTGCAGCACGAAACAGCTGTAGTCACTACGAACTACATAGGATCGTTTTGGACAGAACAAGGTAATTTAAACCACTATACGCTATAACATAGGATGGAATGTATAGTTCTGTCAATAATACAAGATATGTGCATTATTCTCAGGGTTTTATGACAGGGATTTTCAACATATTTGATTGATTTTAAATATATTTGGTGGACTTATAAATTAAAATGTTTTATTCTGAGTTATGTGAAGCTAAAATTAAAAAGAAAAACAAAACTAAACAAAAATATTTTATATTTATAGTGATTAAAATGCTTAAAACAAATGTAGGCCTATAATAAACTAAAACCTACAGTTATAGAATATCTTTTTTATATAGAAAACTATACACACCAATTAAGGAAAATCAAGCAATCTGTCCCTTGATGAATGTACAGTACTCTGTAGGCCTACTTACAATATTTTACGATCGAAGCCATTTCATAACTCATTACTTTCAAAGAAGCAAGGTTGCTCTGCAGAAAATACCAGACTAGAGTTACTATTCAAATACTGATGTTACAAGTAATGCTCAATGTGAATCAAACAAATATTGACAAAATGAGGCAAAGATGCTGGTGATAGTTTTATCATTTGATACCAGTCACCAATATGTGTTATATTTGTTGGTATATTTTGCACATTCGAACTACTAAAAACATAGAATTCTGGTAATATACTTAACAATGGAAATTTTTCCTTTGCAACCACAATAACACGATTAATAAATAATAAATAAATAAATAAAAATGCCTTTATTTGCAAGCGTCTTTCAGTACAAGAACTGTTTTACAAAGTAACTCATGTCAATATAACTAACTTAAAAATATACAAAAATTAGGATACAAAAACAATGTGTATGACAAAACAAAATTATAAGCTATATACAATACTTTACATCTTCTTTACTTTTCTTTTGAAAGCCAGGACCCCCAGCTGTTTTAGGTCCAAGGGGAGATCATTATATATCTTTGGGCTAAAGTAAGAAAACCCTTTTCTACCCACTTCTAGTCTTACTTTTGGAATGTGGAGCAAGGCGTTCTGCCGGGTCACACGTTGAGTCACCTCCCCACGTGCCACAAGCCTCTCCACCAAGTACTTAGGCTCTTGCTGAACCAAGACCCGGTGGATGAGGCTACAAGTCTGCTCCCTGCACACGGCACCCATTGACAGCAACCCTGCAGCATCCCGAAAAGGGGATACGCGTTCACGCTTACGGATACCGTAAACGAAACGAATGGCGGAGTTCTGCACTTTTTGCAATCGGGACATCTCTTCCCTTGAGATGCTGTTGCCGTATGCAGGAAAACAGTAATGGAGCACTGACAACACTAGTGACTGTACCAGCTGCAGCTTGGCTGTCTCTGGTAGGATGTTTTTGTACCGGTACAGACCACGCAGCCTTCCCAAAGCCACCTGGGAAACATAAGTGATGTGGTCCGAGAAAGTGAGGCCACTGTCAAGTACCACACCCAAGGTCATGACGGTATCCCTCACCATTAGAGGTTTTCCTGCGATTTGAACGTGCATGTCTCCATTTGCAACTCTGTGAAGATTAGTGGGTGTAGCAATATGAAGAATCATGCATTTTTCAGAGTTCAATTTCAAACCATGTTTGCGTGACCACTCACTTATTCTCACCAGATCAGAGTTCACTCCTGCAAAAGCTTGCTCAGCAGCCTGAATCTCATAGGAGAAATGCAATTGGCAGTCATCGGCATATGAATGCACATTGCAGTGACTCACACATCTGGACAGATCTGCAGTGTACAGGGTAAACAAAATGGGCCCCAGACAGCTCCCCTGAGGCACTCCCCTTGATTTCTCTAGAGGAGGTGAGATATCGGTACCCACCCTGGTAACTTGCAGTCTGTTTTCCAGGTAAGATCTAAACCAAGCAACCGCATTGCAATGAAAACCAAAATGTTTCAATTTTGCTAGGAGCAAACCATGGCTTATGGAATCAAAGGCCTGTGAAAAATCAAGCATGACTACAGAGCTACACCTGCCCTCGCTCCTCGCCCTAAACAAGTCTGCAAACATATTCATCAATGCAGTACAGGTGCTATGGTTCTTTCTGAACCCTGATTGCAGTTTGGGAAGCAGATTCTCTGCATCTAAAAATTCGGTTATTTGGCGTATTACTAATTTTTCGAGCACTTTGGACATAGCAGGCAAGACCGATATTGGCCTTAAATCATTAAAGTTTGAAGGAATCTGTTTTTTGGGCAATGGATGTACCATACTTTTCTTCCACGCGTGTGGAAATTCACTGTTTACAAGAGACATATTCATAAGGTGAGTTATTGCATCAATGGCATGAGGCTGACGGCTTTTATCATTGCAATACTTATGTCATCAACACCGACAGCTCTAGAGGTAATTTCATTAATAGCTTCCCTCACTTCTGATACTGATATTTTTCTTAACTGGAATTTATTTACATTACGTGTATCTTCATTATATAATCTAATCAAATCTGCATCTGCTTCAAAAAATGATCCCATTTTTACAAAAAAATCATTCATTTCACCGACCCTAAAATCATTTGGTAAATTATTTCTGCCCTTTCCTGCTACTATATCACTCTGTTTAAGGCATTTCCAAAACGCTCTTGTATCTTTACAATCTGCCAGTTTTTCTGAGAAAAAATTTCTTTTTGCTTTCCATACAGCCCCATTCAGTTTGTTTCTAACTTTTTTATAATCTATCCAGTCGACATTCTGTCCCGAGCTTGAAAATTTCCTCCTTAATTTATTTTTCATTTTTGTTAACACAATGATTTCATTATTTCTCCAAGGTGCTTTTTTCTTTGTCACTCTCTTTGTTACTAGCGGCGCATGTTTATCATTAACTGCTAACGCTCACTGGCACCAGGTAGTTTTCTTGTAAGATCTACCACAGAGACAATATAATATTACTAGACTCTTCTATCTACTATCCAAACAGTATATAAGCCTGCTGGATTGAAATTATGTAAACTACTAAGACAGAGATTTGGGACTGCAGATGGAGGTAAGAACGCATTGTCAGATTAGTTACTACAATAGTTCTGTTTCTGAGTTGTCAAAAGAGAACTTTGAACTGTGGATACCAGATATGTTTAGAAAAATAAATTTTTAAGTACCTATTCTCTAAACAACTATAAAAACAAAATTCATAACACATTATAGGTCAAATTGACAATAGCGACCACCTGGCTGTTGCATGAGGTTAGTTTTACAAAAGATGTAAGTAAAAAACGCACATCAGGTGAAATGTCGACCTTAAATCTTCACGGTTACGTCAATATTGGCTAACAAGGATCTGCAATTAAAAAATCGGTCAAGGCCGAACAACCCAAGTCTTCAGAGTTTGGTCGGGCCTCACTCACATGTCTGTGGCACACATTGTAATGGTGTGTTACATTAACATACAAACTCCCACCAACTTCACTCAGACCAGACCAGAACTGACTGATCAAGTGAACAGTGTTATCTACACAAGATGGGAATTCAAGTTAAAAGCTTCTTATGTAGAAAATGTGGAGAGGAGGAGACAGCCTTCCGCGTGATATTTAGGTGCCCAGCCCAACAAGGTCTATGTGTGAGATTCCTTGGCCTATCGACTGGAGATTAAAGGGAAGAACAGGTTACCATAGTCAAAAGGATCTCATGGTTTACTAAGAACCTGGGATTTGACAAAGAATGAGGACCTGTGAATGAGGGTGCCCAACAAGCTGTTTCAGCTGTGATGCAATCCCATGGTTTACTTATAAGCCTAGCACTCTTAAAAAAAGTGTTCTTCTGTTTGGTTATGTGCGATTTAGTGATTAAATTGTTATGTCACAGTCACAGTTAGATTTTGACCCTTTTATAGAGGCAATCGAATAGAGGTCCTTTAGTAAAATTGACAGCCAACATCAGATTGCACCTGGCATCCCTTTCCGTTTTTCTTAATGTAAGAATAATTTTTATTTTTTAATGTGCTAAAAAACAAATTAACTACAAAATGTTCAACTTGACACCAAAGCTTCATATACCAAAGGTAGTCGTGCTCTGGCAGCATGGTGAATAATAACGATCAGTCGAGAGTCGACTGACGATTCGAGTAATGCCTGTTGTGATGATTAGTCGTGGGCTTGTTCGCCATTACCTTAACAAACCAGCCAAAAACTATGAGTATTCCCTGCTAATTTAGCGCTTAGTATTGATTACCTTACAATCATTAAGAATATTGCCCCACAATGTGATATTTGCAGCTTAGAAGTTTTGCCTTTTATTTCAAATGTGTTTCCCACGACAAAGAAGGTACTGAAACTATATCAATATAGGTATATTTGTGTAAAGCTTCAATCAGCTCACTTTTGCAACACTAAGCATCGGAGGCCTTGAGATTCTTATTCCATTCCAATGATCACAATAACTATCCTAAATTAAACATATGGTAGGGGATTGTGGACAAATTGTGCTAGGGGATTGTGGAACAAATTGTGGACATTGTGGAATTATTGTGTAAGAAAAATCATGCTCAGTATGATTCAATATTCAATATTAATTGTTAAGTGATAGACATGATCCGTGGATGCGATACTCCCTCGTGTGGATTAAGGATCGCACAAGTAGAGTACTACGACTATCCACAGTATTATCCTGATAATTAGAACAATGCGTAAAATACAAGTCAAAATTGTGGTTCGGATTCCACTTTGTACTGAAGGTCCCTTAGTTGTCATTGGCGGTATGGGCTATTAATTAACAGTCCTGTCAAAGGAACATGTCCGGCATATTGGTGGTGCAAGGGGAATTTGATGAGTTTGTAATTTGGGGAGGAGGTAATTGAAGTTTATAAGGTTTAGTTCTAATGGACTAGGATATTTCAATTCAATATCCTTACACACTTTGTCAGTTTGCTAAGAGCCAGTAACAAACCACTTACAAATGATCACACATATTAATGAGGCGGAATGGGCACACGGGAGGGACTTAGGCTAAAGGTGTAGTGACGTCATATCTCTAGTGGCTAATGTCTTCTCTTGAGGCAACACGATTACCGTAACAAAACAATTTGATTTTAGCGGCGTTCGTGGCATAGTTGGTAGCGTTTCGGATTGGTGTTCAGGAGGTCCTGGGTTCGAATCCCGCTGGCAGCTCTAACTTTTTGTCAACAAATTTTTCATATCAGCAAGTTTGGTTGGTTAGGTTAGGTTATGACAGTTTAATTTTAAAATACTAAATTTTAAAATTAATTTTATAATTAATTAAAAATTATTAATTAGATTTTTATCTTATATAGGCTAGTTTTTATATTATCAGCAAGTCTGGTTGGTTAGGTTATGTTATGACAGTTTAATTTTAAAAATTAATTTTATAATTTTAAAACAATATTTTATAATTAAAAAGTTAATTTTATAACTAAAAATAAAAAATAAAATTAATCTAAATTTTTTCAACTTAGCAGTTCTAGCGGCAAACGCTGACACTACAAGATATGTTAGCCTTAGTCCCTCCCGTGTGCCCCACCGTTAATGAGGCTATACGGCACTGAGTGTTATGACATTATTTTAAACTGAACACATGCTTCCTTAACGGATATTTTTGTAAATTAAATATCCAACGATAAAAATTAAAAAAAAAATTACCAAACTGCTTTAAATTATAAGAGTGATAGTTGTATGACATTATTTTAAACTGAACACATGCTTCCTTAACGGATATTTTTGTAAATTAAATATCCAACGATAAAAATTAAAAAAAAAATTACCAAACTGCTTTAAATTATAAGAGTGATAGTTGATTACAAACACTGTACCTATGTACTAGTAGTAAATGCAACGTACTACAGTATGAGTCATTGGTTAATAATAATCATTATCATACATGAGTAGCGAACGCTTATCAGGTTGAATTCTTTCCATCTATATCAGAATAAACCAGCAAGTCAAAGACAATAAAATGTGCTTACATACCATTATGAATAACCTAACTCTGTTAACATCATTTACAAACAAAGGCAAACCGTGTGGTGGTGATAAGACTCAGTTTGGGCCACTTAGTTATGCAGTCATAGTCGATTACTAGATGTAAATAGTGTAGTGCCGGCCTTGAAACGTTGTTTAACACTCATTGTCCATTAGGGACTAATTAATTGATTGGAACAATAACCAAGCAATTTTCAATTGTGGTCCAGAAGCAATCAAAGATGCAAAATAAGAGAGAGATGTTCTTTTGTTAGTTATTTAAATTCTGATTACATAGATTTACAGTAAAACACTTAAAAAGTAAAATTTTAAGGCCCACGCATTGCCTAAATTAATTATAGATATAGATGTAATGTTATGACTTACACTTTTCACGTTCCCTTTGAATGGAGTGTTGCTATACCTCGTAGTTAGAAGGCCAACAGACATAAGTGATTTCAGTACCACCATCTTTCCAACAAAAGGCTACGTTGTTCACTTGTAGAGTAAAAGGCACCATGCAGACACACTCTAAAACAACATAAGCAAGTTCATATTGGTCAAGTTTCTAACTCTTTGATGGTTCAAACCCGTGGAATGTTGGAATTTTGCACACCTGAAGATTCCTTTTCTGCTCTGTACAAATAAAACAAAAGAAAATTTACAGATCTCAGCTTTTAGAATCAGGTCAGAGTTTAGGGTTTAAGGAAGACAGCAAGCAAGCAGCTTTGGCAGACCCTCTCCTTATCCGTGTACCCTCACTCAGAACATTTTTGAGAATTAAAAGTAGCTGTAAACCACCTTTGACACTATTTATAGGTTAAACTATTGATTTAAATTTCTGTATTTTTCAACAAATAAATAAACAAAATATTGTAAAACAGAGTATTTTAGGAATTTCACACTCCTTAAGATTGGGCGCTCTGGGATAAAGCCAAATCAGCCCATAAAGGCTACAAAGTGGGGCCTGGAATAAAAGTTGGGTCTAGTCTACTGTAAAATAACTGTCTTACTGTCCCCTATCACCAACATAGGTTAGTATACTGAATTGATATATCCTATCTGTTGACCAGCCTTCTCAGTAGTGAAGCATTTCAGTGTGTGTGAATCCAAAATGAAATAGGTTGTAATTTTAATTTGTTATGACCAAGAAAGTTGGTATGCAGGATAGAAGGGATTATTCCAAATCCAGTATAGTGTGGGGTTTTAACATGGATTTAAAGAAATGGAATGGAATAATGATAACTAGTGGTCGTCCAGTGGTTGAATACTCGACCAAAAACATGTGATGTACAGAAATCTTTATTTACACCCCACACTGTAAGTAAAACATGTAATGATTGGGATTTCGTCAATGTGTTTAGATTTTCTTTTTATATTTCGTCACCAACATGGCAACCCATAAGGCCCATATTCATTTTTTTTTAATTTTCAATTAAGTTTTGTGCTTATTTTTGAGCCTATTTTATTTTATACATGGTTTCTGCACATCTACGGGCAAATATCTTTCTAACGGTATGCATAGATTTTCCCTGCGATGCACACAAGCTGAGAAAAAAGGTTTTAAAGAAACATGCTTGCCTAATTATAGGATTGTCATAAACCTCGTCTTATCAAAACTCAAACATAATTTTCATGTCGTCGGGGTGACTTGATACCACATTGGCTGTACTTTTGATAGATGCCCTTCTTACAATAATTTTAGTTTCTGGGGAGGACTACAAAATAACTTCAATGTCAATGAGTGGCCCAAACCATTTTAAATGGCCTACCAATCCAGATGTATGCTGGTATAACAAATGTGATATGAAAGAACCATTACACCTCTATTACCCATTAACGCAAGGTGAATGTTCGCAGTCCCCCGAGATGAAAAAATTGAGGCTAAAGGACAAAATCAATGAATAAATGTGTTTAAGAAGCCCTGTAAATAGTGTAGATAATGAACAATTTAATTAAGTTACTTTAAAGCTGACAGTTCTTGAATTTTTGAGAAAGAAACATTTTTTAAATTTAAACCATTTTTTCAAGAAGTATAACTGCGGCGACGTGTAAAATTGCAACATTTCGCTAAGAAGAAAAAATGTAAAATAAGTAATTAAAATTTTGGTTATTATTTTGTTTGAACACACCACGCTTCTAGTTTATGTTAAGGTAAGTAATACTGTGTTTTGGTCCAATATTATTTTTTACAGATTTTTTTATAGTTTTACCAACAAACCCCGCGTTTTGGTTTATAATTTGATTAATAGCTTCAGTAATAATTATGCAAAAAATATGTAAAAAATATCAAAAGATTCAGAACAAAAAGATGGACTCAAATCACCCCTTAAATAAGCCTAATATTGTATTACATTGAAATCACATGCAATCTTATAGGCTGGTGACCCCACTTGCGGGGGTGACTTGAACCGGCAATATTTATTATTTTTTCTTTTACTAGTAACCATGGTAAAAATATATTACTTTGTAAATAGTTAGTATAAGCTAAGACTGTAGGTAATAAGTAGGCTATAAAAAAATATTAGTTCTAATGTGCTTAGTTACAAACATACAATGGTGTAAACTTCAAAAGTGGTATCAAGTCACCCCGTTTTACGGTAGTTAAATTGATAGTTTCAATCAATATTAGTGTAAATCAGTTAAGAAACTGTACCTGTACCCGGAAGCAGTCTTATAAAGTAATAAAGATGGTACAAGTGATTCTTATCGAAGTAGGCTAGACATTAGAAATTCATTAGAAGGATGTGCTTGTGCTATCAACAAACAGTTTCTTAACTGGGCTACGCTAATAATGATTGAAACTATTGATTAAATTAGTAAACCTTCATGCGATTTTTTAACCATCCGCAAGTTTGGTTTGGTTGGTAGGGTTGTGATAGTTTAATTTTATAATAGACCTAGATAAGTTATATTTTAAAATATCGATTAAGTCTATTAACTTAATCAATATTTTCAATTTGATAGTTTCAATCAATATTAGCGTAGCCCAGTTAAGAAAATGTACCCGACAAACTCTTATTTACTAAATCCAAAGTATAGACTGCATCTCTGTTTCGTTTCTGTTGACAAGTTTCTTAATTCTTACATACCTTTGCAAGAGTATGATCCTGCAGTAACCCCTTTGGGGTACAGTTTCTTAACTGGGCTATGCTAATATTGATTGAAACTATCGAATTGAAAATATTGATTAATAATCTATATTTTTAAATAGGCCTAAATCTATATATATAAAAGGCAAAGCCCTCACTGACTGACTGACTAACTGACTCACTCACTCACTCACTCATCACTAATTCTCCCACTTCCAATTTACCTAGGCGGCTGAAATTTGGTACACTGATTCTTTAGGCATTAAATAGGAAAACTAAGTTGTTTTTATTCTGATCGGACTCTCGGGCTCTGCCCCAGTGGCTCTGGAATTTCCCATGTTAACCTTATGAGTACTCATATTTAAATGGAATTAATGCATCTTAACAGCTGTTTCAATTAAACAAGTTGGTTCTGTTCTATGATGTGCAATAGCATTAAAGTTACAAGGATTACCAACAGGGTGCAGTACTATTATTTTTTTTTAATTTATGACAACAACAGCTAATTTGCAACCAAAAGGTGAATGAGCGTAGCGAACGAACTTCAACCTGGAGGCGAGTTAGCGTAGCGAACGAGCTAACCCGAAGGCAAGTGAGCGCAGCGAACGAGCTCCAACTTAAAGGTGAGTGAGCGTAGCGAACGAACTTCAACCAGGTTGTGATTAAGCCATGCGAACGAGCTCACTAATGAAGTAAAGCGGGGCAAAGCCCGCGGGTACAGCTAGTATAGGTAGCCTATAAAAGGCAAAGCCCTCACTGTCTCACTCACTCACTCATCACTAATTCTCCCACTTCCCATTTACCTACGAGGCTGAAATTCGGTACACCGATTCTTTGGGCATTAAATAGGAAAACTAAGTAGTTTTTATTCTGATCAGGCTTTCGGGCTCCGCCCCAGTGGCTCTGGAGTTTCCCATGTTAACCTTATGATTTTTCACATTTAAAAAGAATTTCTTAACAGCTGTTTCAATTAAACAATTTGGTTATGTTCTATGATGTTCAATAGCATTAAAGTTACAAGGATTACCAACAGGGTGCAGCACTATTATTTTTTTTAAATTTATGACAACAACAGCTAATTTGCAACCAAAAGGTGAATGAGCGTAGCGAACGAACTTCAACCTGGAGGCGAGTTAGCGTAGCGAACGAGCTAACCTGATGGCAAGTGAGCGCAGCGAACGAGCTCCAACTTAAAGGTGAGTGAGCGTAGCGAACGAACTTGGTTAATATTGATAGTTTCAATCAATATTAGCATATAGCCATAGACTAACCAACGTTTTATCTATGATATAGCCCAGTTAAGAAACTGTAGGCTACCCTCGATAGTTTCAATCAATATTAGCATAGCCCAGTTAAGAAACTGTACCCAATCTTTGTTCTTCGCGTTTTTGGTACCGGTACCTGAAAGCCGGAAATAGTAGCAGCCTACCGCTACCGTACCGTACAGCACCAATGAGGTAATATTTAGTCAAGATGTAAGCTACAAGAACAAAATTCAAATTCACTCACTTGCACAACTACGAGCTACGACAGAGCCTTCATCCCTTTATCTGAATCTAAAGGATAATCATAACCATCCAGATGCAGATTACGAATTACGAGCACGAGACTACTAGACAGACACAAACAAAACAAACCAAGGCCCGTCCGTCCCTAAGGAATAAGGATGACAATTAATTATTGACAAGTTGACTACTAACTAGACAAAGACAATTTTACAGACGACACCGACACCGGACGGACACCGGACAACCTCTGGCGAGATATAAATGGCACTGAAGGAAGAAGTAAATGGTTCAAGATTATGCTAGCCGTGGATGTTAAACCTCTATTTTTTACAACTGCAATACACAGAGGAACCGCAGGGGGCTCACGCTTGCGTGGGTTCGTGGCCTGGGCGACCACGCGGACCCTAGCTCTCCCAGAGGGGAGGTAACTGCCCGGTGTCAGACCCGGCACTTCAGGTAGACCACAGTTATGGACGACTGGTAAGCGCCAGCCCCTTAGGGGGAGCCTCCAGTGACATTCCCTCCATTCAGGGTGGGGGGGGGGGTGTTTAGCTCTCAGTGACGCCGTTAATTCCGCCTCTCATCATCTACCTGTAACTGTGGTTGTGACTGAGTCCTACCTGTTGTGTTCGACTGACATTTTGTGAGGCATATCCTCGACTTTGGAAGTAGCCTCGTCCTGGGAGGTGAAATACCTAGCCCCCAGAGGGGAGGTAAATGCTCCGTGTTGGTATCGGCATTTTCAAGTTGGCCACAGACATGGTCGACTGGGCATCGGGTCCCAGTGACATTCCTTTATCCAGGATGGAGGGGTGTTTAGCTCTAGGAGAGATGGAAGTACATCATAATCTCTAACCTACCTGTGTCTGTGGTTCTTTGGGCTTCGGCCTGCTTGTTGTGTGCGACCAGCATTCAGTGGGCAAATCCTCGACTTTGGAAGTAACCTTTCCTGGAGGTGAAAACGGGCAAGTACCCGCAGCTCACGGGGACACTCAAGGGCAACGTAACTTTCCGCAGTGTGAGGGCAACGGTTTGTAGGTACTTATGCAAACCTATCCCTGTCTCTGAGCACGGACGGTATGGTTATCTTGAGTGTGGGGGGTTCTTCCCGGAACCTCAATTGAGTCAAGGGTGTCGCCACCTCTGGTGGATAGGTTCATCCGGGTGGGTCCCACTTCTATACCTGCCTCCTTTTGGGAAACCCTGATGGCCTGGCAGTGATGTTGGGTCTGACGGGCAAACGAAGTAGATCGGGTGCTGGGTCCGAGCCCGCCAGGGGTATCTGGGGATCTATCGCTCTGGTTATCTCTGGTTTCCCAGCAATGGGTAAGGCCTCGATCGGGCAGCGGTGGAAATGGGAGGTTGGGGTTCCCCCCGTCAGCGTGCTGATGGTCCCCTTCCTCCTGGCTATTGATGGCGGGTTCTGCCTGTCAGGGATGAGATAGGTCCCGAGTGTTGCTTGCACTAAATGCGTCGGGGCGCTCTACTATGGACCTCTAGGTTCCGACCTAGTGGAACCCAGGTGGAGTGACGCTTAAACAAGCAGCCGGAATCCCTGGTTAGGATTGAGGGGCAACCCTCTTTCCGAAGGGTCTGCTTCGGCAGCCGGCGAGCCTGATGACCTTAAGTCATCCGCCCATGATGTGCTAAAGGTTGATGCGTAAGCTTCGGCCTACATCATGGGGCCCGGGTATGTCCTGAAGGATAGGTACCGGGTAAGCAGTCAGGGGGCTTCGGCTCTCATGACAACAAATAATAATAATAAAATAATACACAGAGGACTTATGAGCATAGATTAAAGATTACGCATACTGATTTATTCCCTGGGCTAGTGGCTAGTGCATATAGAGGTAAGGTACAAAGAAAACCTTCAATGGTTAACACACTGTGTCCAGCAAGTTAAAGGTGGCCGTGGTCTGCACTAGTGCTGTTTTCTATGGCAAAGACCAACACCACCCTCTTGCCATCATGTACTACAACGCCAAGAGAAAGACCCTGTACCAGGTGCGATAGGAATTTTCGCACAGTGCTAACCGTTCGGAATCCTGGAACTTGTGTTACTGAAGAGATATTGAAATCTGATTAGCCTATTCAAGGCTACTCTTCTACTTCCAAGTGGCACTGCTTCAAAACCCATGTAGCACAGGTTGGGCCAACGTTGGTAAATTGTGGAGCCACACAGTTGGCCAACGGTAGAAATGTCACCTCTTTAAACTGTTTTCCAGCCAACCATTGTCCAGCCGTTTTATTTCACACAAAATAATAAAGATTTAGTACGAAAAGCATAATTATTAGTTGAGTAAATTGATTAAATAGTTCATAAAAACAAATTTTGAAAAAAAACTAGAACAAAATTTTTTTGGCCCAGACGGGTCTCGAACCCGGGTCCTTCGACTTATGAGCCTCTTACTTTACCACTGAGCTATCTGTGATTGCTGATATAGAGAGTTTTCAAGTGGTGAAAGAGTAGCCGACAGTTGCAATGGTCGCAATACTTCAAACATTTTTGATACTACACAGTATAATATGATTCTGTTAATCTGTTAAGGCATCATAAGTAGTTTTTTTTTTTGGAGTTAGAGAGGATACTGGTATTTGAATGATTAATTAATTACCGTTAGATTGTTAATGCTATTATAATTGCCTGTTATATGATTAATTACTCTTTCCCCTTAAATTGTTGCAAATAAGTTAAAGAATATTAATTTAAAAAATATTTGCATTATTAAAATTATTAAAATTCATTGTTGTAGCGCCGGAACTGTAATATATAAAATATCTGGTTTTACAATACCTTTATCAGTTCCAAAAACTTTTGGAAACTTTTGGAACTGATAAAGGTATTGTAAAACCAGATATTTTATTATAATTATGTTGTGAAAGCTAGACCCAGAGAATGAAAGTCGTGTAAACTCAACTATGGACCATTGTTGGTCCAACAAAAGTATCTTTTGTTGGTCCAACGGAGTGAAAAACGGTTGGACAACGGTTGGCTTGATGTATGATACCCAGCAATGCATATTAATGTATTTCATTAACAATGAACCAATGTTGGTCCACAGTTGTAAATATTGGTTGGCCCAACTACGAGATATACAGTTGGACAACGGTTGGTTGGTTGTGGAAGCTCCAACCAACCATCGACCAACTGTCCCACAGTTGGCCAACGTTGGCCCAACCATCTGTGCTACATGGGAAAGCACTCTTACGGAACAGTGCCTGTGGCGTACATATTCTTTCGGAGCTGTACTGTAGCGGGGGGCCGTTTGGTGAGGGGGTGCGGGGTTAAGGTATGGGATGGAGGAGGGAAATTCGGGTAATCAGAAGGGAATAAACAGGGTAATGCTAATAGGTTAGGAAAAGGTGTGTCTGGACCCAGCTTAATTTCAGCGTGCTGAATCTGCTACCAATACAATTAGGAAGATTGCTGGGGACCAGAGGGACGGAGACCTTTTACCCAAATCAGAACACTTGCCTAGCCAGCTTTGATTTGAACTAATGGAACTAACTATTTAAATATAAACCTATCCTTCCACTACGAACTGAACTTGGGTAATTACTTACTAATTATTGATGAGCAAATGAGTGATATGTAATTGAATACTGAATGAGAAATAAGTATGAATTGATTTAAACTATTAAGTTACATTCTGGGAACATGTGGATTAGTATTCATGTTTCGAAAGGTTGGTGGCAGAGTGCCACCAACCGGCTAAGTTGTCAATTCCTACATTTCCATAGTCGGGTGAGCCAGAAGGGCTCCCCGCTAGTTACCTGACTTAGCCAGACATTTTCCCTACTTAATTTCTACATATTAACTAACTATGATAACTTATCCCAAACATCGAAGAGAAGTCCTGGATTTTACGGAGAGGTTTCCTGTGTAGAAGCCGGTTGTCGAAGAAGGAGGACAAGACTAGGAAAGGTGGGGATAGAGCATTGATGCAGTCGCGGTAGGCAACGAGATGAACATGCAGCCCGGCTTCGCGAACTGCACACACTATAAAAAATATAGCGTGCCGCTATGCGTCACAACCACCCCCCTTACGACGAAAGAAAAGAAAAGAACAAAACAGTTTTTTGAAGGTTGGTGAAAGGGTTTGGTTTGCTGTGTTTTTTTTTTTTTGTGGGGAGGTTTGTCGTTCGGTTTGCTTCCAGATGTGGAAGGTTCTGACCAGCCTGGCTGTAATAGGCACCTCGGACCACCGGACTTTCCCGAACCAACCACGGCAGAGAGCGGGATCCACCCCCCCTGCGAAAAGAGGAAGGCATTGTGGGGACGACAGTTTGTTTCCCTAACCTGGCAAAAATTGGAATTGAATTGCTTTCTGTTGTGAAATAAAAAGGGACGGACAACTGCACGCACAAAAGATTTTTTTTTTTTTTTAATTAGGTTTTCTTCTTAAGGCATTGCTGGTGCACTGTGGGGGAATTTGAGATCAGCTGGTGTGTCTTCTGGTGATGCAGGTCTTGAGAGGTGCTGATGGTATGGGCTAAGTGTTGAGGCAGCAGGCTGAGTGTAGGCAAAGAGATGTTGTGTGCTGATGACTCATGCGGACCAGGCCGGAGCATCGTAGGCTGCGCCCAAGGTGTGTTGGCTGATGACTCATGCGGACAAGGCCGGAGCATCGCTGGCTGCGCCCAAGGTGTGCTGGCTGATGACTCATGCGGACAAGGCCGGAGCATCGCTGACTGATGATGGGGGATGTAGAAGGTAAATGTCTCTTGTGGTCCAAAACAGATGTGCACGATATTTCATGATTGATTGGTATGCGGGAAAATTGTAGAGTTGTTAATTGAGTTTTGCTTTTTCATTTGATTTATTTATTATTTTTTGGTTGCTTTGATTGTGCAGTTGTCTGGTTTCTATTAAATACTGCTGGGGGAAATGAATATTTAATCAGATCGCAGATGATCATAAAAAAAAACTTGTTCAAGGTGACTGTCGTTGTGGAAATGAAGAAGGGTTGGTCGCAAGGTGGAGGTCCGATCACTGACGGGTTGGCTCGGACTCAAAAGGTGAACCATGGGTTCGTTGGGGCCGAGCTACTCAAAACCAGACTGATGGAACTCGCGGATACCGTTTTGGGGTCTGTGAGTTGAAGGGGTTTGGAAGGATAGTAAACTGTTCTTGTTGAAATTTTTTTTTTTTTTTAACATTTCGCATGCTGAAAATTACGCATGCA